AGGCACCGTAGGACTGATAGTAATGGAAGTACTGTTCATCCAGAAGCAACCCTTTGTGAAGAGAAACTCAGCAGGTCAAAACACTCACAGAGCGAGAAGCCAGCTTTAGAGACACACTTAGCAAAACTGTTTAGCAGAAGGTTGAAATATTCACCAAAGTAGAATACACACAGGTATAGTGTAATTACCAACTTGGTGATTCTAAAGTCAAAGCAAGTCGTCATATATCAAGTTATCAAATCTTCACTCGTAAAACTGCAGGAGTCAGTTGTTACAACCATAGTGAAATTATGCCTAAAAAGCCTACAAGAATTTGTTCGACTCCATACTTTTAATCGGAGTGGGTTCCAGCAAATTCAATTGGATATTCAGTTCCTAAGGACTTCTTTAAGAGAAACAGTTGAAGACGAAGCTGCTATGGACTTCTTGCTTGATGAGGTTGGAATGATTAATTAAAGTCACGTTCATACTTTGAGCTTTGATTTTCATCTAGCTATATAGTTGGTGAAGTCGTGTTTATCTTCGCCCTCCCCTTTGTTTTTTTGGTTTGGGCCACAGGTGATGGTTGCTGCAGCAGAGCGTTGTCTTGACCCAGTTCCTTTGGAGCCCCCAATACTGGACAAACTTATACAAGTCAAGTTGGCAAAAACTAAGGAACATAACACAATATCTCCATGATCATTTAATGGTTGAGCAGTATGTATTTCCTTCAATTTTAGGGGACATCCGTTTCCGGGATCAGTTGAAGTTACCCATCAAGCATTCAGAGTTTTGTTAGTTGTCATCCCTCGTGGAATCTGATAGTTCTTAGGCCGGATTCCTTTTAATTTCTGTAAATCTGTTGTAGACTTGTAATGTAAATCTGGCTTCTCCGCTTCTGTTGTATTGCTTCAATCGCGAGTATACGTATCAGCGAAGCGCTAGCGAGGGACATCTATTCATTCAGCGTTATTTATCATTTCAAGTTCGTGTGTGACATTTAGAGCTATCTGATATTTGTTTATACTCTTGTGCAGAAGAACTTGCCTCGAAAGGCAATTAAGTCAGAATCCAAATCAGATTTTTTTTGAATTTTTTTGTCTTTTGGTTGTATGTTTATTTTCTCAATTCATCAAAATATTTTTCTTTTCGCATTCTCTTTTTACGCATAGATTGTTGTTATTGGAATATTTTTATAATTGTTATTGATATATTTCATTATTTATTATTTATTCCTAATGGTTATCCTTCAATGCCAGATGGGCTTTTCTTAAAGGTATTATGTAGAGAAATATTTTAAGCACTTGATAATATGAAATTAGCTTTTGTTGCTAGGAAAAAGAAATTAACTTTGAAACGTTCTTAACTTATATAGAGTTATTTAAACAAATTTTAACTTCAAAACCTAAATTCAAAATGAATATAAATAATGAAAATTAAATGAATTTTTCCCGTTATTAACAAGTGAGGTAATGACATTGAGGAAAAACACGCGGAATTCTGAATATCAGTGCCGGCAACCCAAAAAGGGCCCAGGGATCCAAGTCAAGGGATTTCTAAAACAAAATCCAGAGAAATAAAAAGCGCATATTTATTTATTAGCTATGACACGTGTATAATTTAATTTACTTAAAAAATACATTAATCATACTTTATTATATTCTTAGGTTATATGTTATTTTGTAGCAATAAATATATATTAAAAAGCTATAATTTTAATAAAAAATTAGGGTCTGATTAAAAGATTAAGGTATGTTTAGAAGAGGAGAGAGAACGTTGGGTAGAAAAGAAAGGAGAGAGAACATCCCGTTCTTCCTTTTTTTTGGGGCCATCCGATGGCCCATTTCCCCGCCCGTCCTTTCCCGCCAAAAGTCACAGCATTGTTTGTCATTTGGCGCCAAAATCCCTCAAATCCAAATCTCGTTCGCGCTCTAGTTTCTTTGTGCCGATTCATTCACACATTTCAGCCTGAGAGTGAAGCTGCTCTCCTGTCCTTGCCCGGTTGAACCATGAAGGACCTCGACTTCAATGCAGACGTAGGTGAGACCTTCGTTCGCCTTACTCTTCGCCGCGACTCGTTGAGCTTATTGTTCTGTTTTTGTTTAGTTTTTATTTACTCCGGTTGAACCAATTCTTTCTTTCCCTCCCTAGCTCTGGCAAAGGAGTTTCTTTCGAACTTCGCAGATGCAAACGGTCAACCCAAATACATGAACATTTTGGTCAGTGCTTTATTTTAATTCAACTTGTATTTCTTCCCTTATTTTCTGAATTGACGAGGTGGAAGCCCAAATCGTCTGAGACCAATAAAATCCTACCTCTTTCGTGGAATAGAGAAACCAGAATGAAAATTAACCCTAATTCGTTGTGTTTTCCCCTTTCAGCAAGACGTTGCTAACCACAAAACTCGAGCTATCCAAATTGACATTGGGGACTTGATCAATGTAACACTCTCTCCCTCCCCCTCCTTAAAATTCTACCCACCTTTTTGTATGAGGTGGGTCTGTTACGCTATTATTGTCTATTATACTCACGAACAATTATTCTGTTATCTTTTCTGAAACTTCAGTATAAAGATCTAGACGAAGAATTTCTCAGACGTGTGACCGAAAATACTCGGAGGTACATTGGAATTTTTGCTGATGCGATCGACGGCCTTATGCCAGAGCCCACTGAAGCCTTTACGGATGATGATCATGATATATTGATGACACAGAGATCTGACGAAGGAGCGGAAGGTGCTGATGGTTCAGATCCTCTTCAAAAGATGCCTTCTGAGATCAAGCGCTACTTGTAAGTTTGACTAAAAGCCCTCTTGTCCTACTTACATGGAATCTATAATAATTATATTTATATGTTGATAATTACGAAATTCATCTGCATTTAATCACTTTCTAGGCTTAAATCATCTTCATCCAGGAAATTTACGTGAGCTTAAATTGGTAATCTGATAGTTATTCTTCAATCTCTTGCTGGAATTCCTGCTTCTTTACTTCGAGAGTCGTTGATAATTGTGAAAATATCATGAAATATGGTTGTCGGCTAATATTACCCCGTATACTCCAGTGAAGTTTATATTAAGGCATCTTCAAAGGGGCGGCCATTTACAATTAGGGAGGTGAAGGCTTCATATATTGGTCAGCTTATAAAGACATCTGGTATTGTGACCCGATGTTCGGATGTTAAACCATTGATGCAGGTAGCTGTTTACACATGTGAAGATTGTGGCTTTGAAATCTACCAGGTAATTTAAAGAGGACTTATTGATATGGTCGTTTTTTGTATTGTGCAGTTTTAATGAAGAAAGAAACTAGGAAATAGAATAAAAACTACAACATGAGATTTAATTTTCAGTTTCAAAACTTTTCTCTTTTGTTATTATGATCTAACTGCCAAGATGTTGAGAAAAGATGCTTAAAGTAATTTATCTATCAATTAAACCTTTTTTTTTCTTTTGGGATTTGTTTTGACCTTTGAGATATTCATGTATCATTGTTCCTTAAGATTGTTGTTTTCTTCCCCTCTTAAACAGGAGGTAACAGCTCGGGTCTTCATGCCTTTGTTTGAGTGTCCTTCTAAGCGCTGTCATATGAATCAAAGCAAGGGGAATCTCATTCTTCAACTAAGAGCATCAAAGTTCTTGAAATTTCAGGAGGTTTGTCCTTGACTCTCTTTCAGTCATCAAAATATGTCTTGAAGAAGAAATCTTTTTTTTCTCCTTGCTATAGGCTCTACGTGAATGTTTGGTTACCTTCAAGGAAATATATTCCTTTTCTTTTGTATAGAAAACGAGATATATAATATTGATCAAATTCCCATCATTATTACTTAAAAATTATTGTATTTTTATTACTTTTTATCTAGAAATATAAAAATATGTCTCATCCACAAAATTATTTAATGAGCTTTTCTTTTTTGAACCCTATCCTCTATGCTCAACAGCCTTTCATGTGATAAATTGATTTATTTTACATTCTGTGGCATGCAATTGCTTAGTTAGTTATAATAAACCTTGTGAGATGATCAAATTGCAGGCAAAACTTCAAGAACTAGCTGAACATGTTCCAAAAGGACATATCCCCCGAACAATGACTGTTCATTTAAGGGGAGAGCTCACAAGAAAGGTTTGTCATTTCCTGCCGTGGAATTAGCCTAAAAATTTGTGGCACCAATTGTTTTCTTCTTAAATATTGTGACAAATAAAGCATGGTTAGCGCTATATTTTCATCTTTGAGAGTTTTTTTTCAAACTTTTTTTTTTCGAAAGGTAGTTGAGAAACATATTTTACAAACGAAAAACTAATGTTAGCCTTACAAGCTTTGCTGGATTTAATTATCGTACTCTTTATTAAACATTTTCAGGTAGCCCCAGGTGATGTTGTTGAATTATCTGGTATTTTTCTTCCCATACCTTTCACTGGTTACAGAGCAATGCGTGCTGGGCTAGTTGCTGATACTTACTTAGAAGCCATGTCTGTTACCCATTTCAAGAAAAGATATGAAGAGTAAGTCACCTTTAAAATCTTAATAATGGCTGGAACTTTTTCTTATTCCGCTAGAATTCACTGTTGTTTCTCTCACTGGTTAGTCCCTATAAGGCTCCAGTTTAGACAAACTATTGTAATAAACTTGGTTTCTCTCATATGCTGCTTATTTGTATATGTCCACGCACATCTTGCGGAAATGCTCTCATAAAAATGATAGTTCACCAATGTTGGGAGGAAATTTATCCTTTTCCATTGGATTCTTTTACAGGTATGAATTTTTTGGAGACGAAGAAGAGCAGATTTTAAAATTAGCTGAAGATGGCGACATCTACAACAAGTTGGCTAGATCACTGGCTCCTGAAATTTTTGGACATGAAGATATCAAGAAAGCATTGCTTCTTCTTCTTGTTGGTGCTCCTCACAGGAAGTTAAAAGATGGGATGAAGGTAATGAGCTATGCTTGATTATTTGGACTATGCATGTTCATCTGTGGTTTGGCCCAAAAAATCATTTTGATTCATGGTTTAAGACACGCTGGCTTCATAGTGAAATGATAATTTTGAGTTAAAGGATAAAGCTTTTACCTTTCCATTAGTGGTCTTACTTTTTATTATTTTGCATATGCTGCATTTGATCATGTTTGTAAACGTCATATTTTTCATATATAATTGCAGATCAGAGGAGATTTGCATATATGTTTGATGGGTGATCCTGGTGTGGCAAAGAGTCAGCTCCTTAAACACATAATTAACGTAGCACCAAGAGGAGTGTACACCACTGGCAAGGGAAGTAGTGGTGTAGGTCTAACTGCTGCTGTTCAGAAGGATCCAGTGACCAATGAGATGGTTCTGGAAGGTGGAGCATTGGTAATTCAAACTTTTTTCCCCCCCTTCCTTTTTTGTCTGCAGCAATTCATTCAATATCCTGTTTTATTAGGAAAAGCTGCTTTTTGTTGTTATGGGTATAATGCCGGAATACTGTATTCAGGTACTAGCAGATATGGGCATTTGTGCCATTGATGAGTTCGACAAGATGGATGAATCTGATCGTACAGCTATACATGAAGTTATGGAACAGCAGACTGTGAGCATTGCCAAGGCCGGGATCACTACATCCTTGAATGCAAGGACTGCTGTCCTTGCTGCTGCCAATCCGGCATGGTTAATACTTCTTGTCTTTAGTGATATTTATACGTGATCGTTTTCATCTTTAATTAGACACTACTCTTTATTGGTTACTTATTGTCTTTGGGAGAATGGAGACCAGGTCTAATATGCATTGACACTTGAGCATATCCAAAATTTATTCTTTTTAATTTTATGTGAAGGGGAAGATATGATCTAAGAAGAACTCCAGCAGAAAATATTAATCTTCCTCCCGCCCTGCTATCAAGATTTGATCTTCTGTGGCTAATCCTCGATCGAGCTGATATGGATAGTGATCTTGAAATGGCTAGGCATATCGTCTATGTCCACCAAAATAAAGAATCTCCTGCTTTGGGATTCACTCCTCTTGAACCATCTGTTCTCCGGTAAATTCACATACTGTCTTGCATTAAAGCACTGTTGCCTGCGGAATTTCAATAATTTTCATCGGATTTTCCAGCTCAGTTTGTGCTGATTTGATTGCATGGTTATACTGACTTCTGTTATCCTTGGGTCACTGCTAATTAAGTCATGCTTTATTTTTTTCTAGAGCATATATATCTACTGCAAGAAGATTATCTCCAAGTGTCCCCAGGGAATTGGAAGAGTACATTGCTACTGCTTATTCTAGTATTCGCCAAGAAGAAGCCAAGTCAAGTACTCCCCATTCATACACAACTGTCAGAACTTTACTCAGCATTCTCCGCGTATCAGCTGTAAGCTCAGTCTCCATGTTTTAATTTTAATGTCAACAACAACAAATTATATTATAACTACTACCGAGGAATAGGTTCAGATCGGTCTAAAGAGGAAAGAGGAAAGCTATGGTCGGACAAAAGAGAGTCAAGTCTCTCAGCATAGATTATTTGGTTATAGGTCATTAAAATGCGTAAACTGTTTCTAATCAGTTGAATGGCCCTCTGCAATTCTTGATAGGCATTAGCGAGACTCCGCTTTTCGGAAACTGTCGCTCAGAGTGACGTGGACGAGGCACTGAGGTTAATGCAGATGTCGAAGTTCTCTTTATACTCCGATGAGCGTCAAAGATCTGGTCTAGATGCGATATCTGATATCTATTCTATTCTGCGAGATGAAGCTGCAAGGAGTAACCGGATGGACGTAAGCTATGCCCGCGCCCTCAATTGGATATCTAGGAAGGTGAGTTCGCTCTAGAGTTGAATTCCATCTACTATTTAGTAGTAGTAATTTAAAATGACTTTATGTAACGCAGATGAATGGATTTAAAATCAAGCTTGACTGCTGAAACACATGCCAATATTCTACAGAAAATCGATTCAATATAAATTATGAAATTTTATTGGTGGCAAAAAAAAAAATGAAATTTACATCACGAGTCATAAAGTGAAACTCATTTTTGAGGCTCCGTGTGGGCCCCCTTTGAAATAAATGTTTTAGCTGATAAAATTTAACTGGAAGGACATTATTGCATTTCATGGAATCAACGGGCAGGGAAGATTTTAGCTGGTTTAGCATGTGGTGATCCTGATAATATATCAGTTGAGTAAAATGGTTTGAAAAGAGCTAGATTGGTTTTTAATTCTGTCCGAAACTTATTAGCTACTACCGAGAATACGGAGTTTGATTTCAATTTGATGCATTGGTATATTCTTGACCGGTCCGTAATTGAACTTTTTGTGGCTCGTGGACAGGGCTACAGCGAAGCGCAGCTGAAAGAGTGTTTGGAGGAGTACGCAGCATTAAATGTTTGGCAGATACACCCCCACACTTTTGATATCCGATTCATCGATGCTTGATGTACCCTTATTGCAAATATACTGGAATTGAGCCAATCCAATTTTAACCCCGTTTTCTCCAGGTCTGGTTTATCCTGTAGTTTGGTCTCACGAAGCTCACCAAGTGTTTTTTTTTTTTAATGGTATTGATAGTTAGGATTTTTCATGTTTAAATTAAATGTTCATGCTTCAGCTTAGATAAGATCGGAGGCGCTGATTGTGTTGCTTCTTGTCTATTTGGATTTGCCTCAGCTATGATATATTTTGTAAAAATGACATCGTAGAAATGGAAGTCAGGTCGAATCTGAATGGACTCCGTCATCCGGAGACTGACTTGCTTCGGCTATATATATATTGTTTTGGGAACAAATAGCTATACTATAATTAGCAAAAATGAACCGCAATGCTATGCTTAATCAGATGCCTTAAATGATAAATCAGAGTCCTAGAAAATTCAGCGAGAGTTTTGCCATTATGGATCCTACTTGACGACACAATCTGCATTAATCTTACAATATGAATTTGATAAAAGATTGTAACCAGAATAAAAAACAATTTTTTATTGATATCTGCATCATTTATCCACTAGTTATCATTTACTAGTTTACTAGTTAACATAAATACTTTAAGATGGCATAAAAGTTAGCATGCCTATTAATAAAATAATAATGTGATTACGATAACATCAATATAAATATATTCTTCTGTTCTACTTCACCCGGTTCTTTTAATGACTTTAAGGAATTGACGGTGATGAATGCTTTATGTAAGATGAATTGTCGAAATTTCAACCAAAGGAAGTAAAATTTTTATTTTTATGTTTTTCGCATTTGCCGAATCAAATGTTGTATTTATTTATTTATATATGCTGGAAAATTTATTTTATTTGTGAAAATTGCAGGAGACAGTACTAATGATCCATGAGAGACATGTAATAGCACTTCTTATTATTAATATAAGAACTAGTTGAAGATTTAATTTAATTTTAAATATAAGACTTTAGTTCACTTTAATTTTAATATTTATTTCTTTTATCACCAAGTAATCCCATGATGATTAAGAGGTATTTTTAATGCACATGATTAATTGGAGTATTTCAAAAAGAAAATATTTATTTATTATAAATAACTAACTCTTTTTTAATATTTACAAATTAGTTATTTAGTTTATATTAAGAACCTTAGTATCAATTATGTAATATCAATTTACCATGTTATACTTAATTTATAAATAATTCTGTTATATGATGGTTAAAATTAAATTGAATTATTTATGATCTCTAAGTAATATTATTTGTTAACTTTTATGTTTAGAACGATTGTATTATTAAGCGGGACGCATCTCATCCATGCCATCAGTATATGCCATTAGTCATACGCCGTCCTCTGGAAAAAGGATCATGATTGGCCAAAGAAAAAGAGTGTGACTGTTTAAGTACAGATTATGATACTAATATAAAAAATAATAAAAAATTTTATTAATTTTTAAAAAGATAAATATGTCATGCTAATTACTCTTGTACTGATTTTGACTATACTTGTAATGATTTTTACTACTCAAAACCTATCAACCTTACCTATTTATCATTTTGAAATTCAATAAATATTTTCCTGTCATTTTTTAATATTAAATACCATATTCTTACATTTATTTTAAATAATTTTGCACCGTAAAAAATAAAATATGTGAGTTTTATTTGTTCCCACCCTTTCTCTGTTTTTTTGGAAAAAAATTTAATTTTATTTAAAAAACCCACGTTACATCGAAGGGTTGAGATTTTAGAAAAGCAAGGTAGAAAATGGTCTAGACCTTTTTCACATGGAATTAAAATTCATAAAATATTATTTCTGATCTTGTTTATAAAGCTGGTTTTTATACTTAACATCAGGTGGATACTTTTGCTCCGCGGTAACGTCAGAGCATGCCCGTGGCCCTGTGGCCCTGGCAATCCTATATAGTCTGTTTCTTTTCGTTTTCGGTTTTTTTTTTTTCCGCGCTTTGGCAATTTAGTTAATCATACAAAACTAACTCAGGGGTGATCGGGCTTATCACAAAAACTAACTCAGGGGTGATCGGAGCTGATGCCCCCCCCCCCCAAAAAAAAAAAAACCGGAGCGCTATGCACAGCAAACAAAAAGTTCTATAGCATTCATATATGTATGGATTATGTTTCTGGCAAAAAATTGCATCGATTATGTTCGATAAACATTTTACATTCTGCCCAAAAAAGATAAACTTTTTATACTACATGTAGAGATATGCCGCATATATTTATGTGATACATTAAATATAAGAAACACACGACCTGAAAAATAAATATATTTTGTTGCCAACAAAAATAATACGCATTTTTTTAAACTTAACTTTATTTATTGTGAGCTATATTATATAAATAAATCCCGCAGGATACTATTTCGTTGTCCCCGCGGCTGCGTCATCGGACACCGAGGAAAAGGGGCAACTTTCCGACCGGATTAACCTCAAAACCGAAAACGATAAAGAGTAAAAGCTACAGTTTCGGACGAATCTTCCTCAGTCCCTGACATCAAATATTAATTTCTTTCTTAGGGTGAGTTAGTGTTTGAGACTTGGAAGAACCTAGCTTTAATTTTCTTTCCAACTGCAAGTTCAGCTTTCAAATCTCTTCTTATTAACCCGAGTCTATAATAGCAACGAAGCCCTAGATAGGAAACGAATCAAGTCTTACATTTCTTTTTTATTTTCTTTAATGGTAAGTGTTTTTGTCAATAAATTTCTCCCCTCTGTGTTGAAACCACTCAAAGATTTTGAATAACATTTTTTTTTATGCTCTCGGTGGGTTATTTTTCAGGTGTCTTCATCATGGACTTGGATGACATCGGAGTCCAACCTAACTTCCTCGCTGCTTTACCCTCCTGAAGCAATTTAGAGGTGATTCCATCCTCCTTGTTTCAATTATGCTGTCTTTCGTTCTATATTTTGTTTTATTTTATTCAGGTTGAATACTGGAATTATTTCAATTGAGTCTCTCCTTTCAGTTCTCTTTATTGGCTGGCTTCCAAAGAATCACATAGGAACAAAATTTACCGCGAAGGATATTGCAATGTTGGTTGTTCGGTTTTTCTCATTTTGAATGTCTATTTCGCACTCTTGCTGTACTCAATCTTCAACCTTAGCTAACTTTATTGAAGTCTTGTGAGAATCACCTGCTCTTTCCCTGGAGAAAAAGATCTTGAACGGCCATGAAAATCACATAATAATTTCAGTTCTGTTTCTTAATCTTTTTTACCATTCAAATGTTGGGCTAATCATTTGCATCCAAATCAACCTTGGCAAATCTAGTGATAGTATGATCATGCCAAAATAGAAGCTACTGATCTTTTTTCCATAATTACCAGGGTTGGCAATAGTTCCCTAATTTAGCCAGTGTAAAAGTGTTTGACTTTTCTTTGATTTTTTTCCTTATCTGTTGTTAATTTGGTAGTGCACCAGCTTTTCTTGTACATATATTATTGAGGTTTGTTACTTCGCTGAGTGAAATTATTTATTTGTCAAAATGGAATTTTTTCTCTGTTTTAGGCTTCTTTAAAAGCATGGATTCACGAAAGTGCATGGCTTCTACTGGTGCGTCATTAGTTAAGGTGTCACCTTTAAGCTTTACAAATCAGGTGGATAAGATGGCTCGACCTTGTAATGATAAAGGAGCTGCTGGTCATGATGTTGACACTGATGTGGATATGGACCTTAGAGAAGTTTACTTTTTGATTATGCATTTTTTGTCCGCTGGGCCATGTAAGAGGACTTTTTCGCATTTCTGGAATGAACTTTTGGAGCATCAGCTTCTGCCAAGAAGATATCATGCTTGGTTTTCAAGAAGTGGCTTGCACAGCGGGAATGATGATGATGATGGCATTTCTTTCCCTTTGAATTACAACGTATTAGCGGATAGGTACTTTTTGCCCCTCTAAAAACATATAATGTGGTGGTAAATTTCATCTATGCTACTAAATAAATGCAGCAAGTGCTTTGAACTTCTTTTGCTTTCTGTTTTTAACATCCTGCAGATTGTTTCATAGAGATCCAACGTCTTTAACTTTGAGAAACTTATATTTGTGATGGTCAAAGCTTGCTCCAAATATCAGTTTTTTAAAAAAATAAATAAATGTGCCTATAGAAATTCTATTGATAAAAAAATGTGCTGATCGAAATGAGGATTTTTCTTTATATCTTAAAATAAACACCCCCTCCCCTAAAAGAGAACTCTTGCTTTAATTAGCTTGGGAAACTAAGTTAGTAATGGCCTTCGCCTACTCTGCCTTGCGTGGGCGTTGATTTTTGGTCATTTTTGTAAACCCAAGGTATTCTCACATAGCAAAGGATCACTTGGTAAAGCTTCTGAAGCAATTGATGCTGAGCACAGCCCATCCCATGCACAGCAAACTTCGAGAAAGTGCCCCTAATGCTGCTGATGTTCCTACTTTACTTGGATCTGGTTCCTTTTCTCTTTTGGACGGTACGTGATATGCTATATTAATCTACTTTCTCTATTCAATTATTTAACCTATCATTTATATTCTGGGAAGATATAACTTTTAGTCCCTGAAATTCCTCTCAATTATCAATCTGATCTCTGAACTATGACTCAAAACAATTATTTTATTAAGTAATTATAGAGATTCAGTTGTATAGACTTAAGAAACTATAGGAACTGAGTTATTCAGAGGCAAATTTTGGGAATAAATTGATAATTGACGAAAAGTTTATCGGACAAAAGTTATATTTTTCCTTTATATTCCTGTAGTTTTAAATTAAGGGTACACTCTACAAAATGTCTGTCAACTGAGATGGGTACAATTTTATACTTCAATTGCTATCAGACTTTTCTGCTAGTATCGTAGTGAATGTATTAGTAAAGTGAAGTCGTGGTTACAGATTTCCGTCAATGTCTTGTCTATTCTTAACCTTCACAATATCAGTTGAGGGATGTGTTAATATTCCATTGATTTAGGTTTGAGTAATAGGCCTGTGTTATACAAATCACAAATCAAACCTTGTTTGAATTGATGCTTTTTTATTAATAATTTTACACAATGAACATTCTGTGATTATGTTTGTATCATAAAATACAGATTTCTGTAAATTATCTGATTTCTTCTCTTGGGGTTTTACAGCTGTTCTTGAAGTAGTAGGACTAACTTCGTCAAGAGCTCAAATTCAGCTTGACTCATTTATTAAATGAAAAAAAAAAAATTATCAACATATTACATTAGTTTAATTAGATAAGCCAATCATCAAAATTTAATGTTTTAGTTAAGCTCACAAACAACTTGGTTAGTAATAAAATGTGCATTTATTGACAAATACAGAACCATTTGCTTCACTAAAACATTGTAATGCATATTAGTCTAAAGTTTCTAATATAACTCACGTATAATATAAAGTTGATTTTTTTTTTTTTTTTGGTTTCACACTATTTCGAGTGAACCAGCTCGATCACGTCTTTGCATTGGTCATGTACTCTCTAGTGAGATTGCTGCTTGGGTTGTGTACAATGTAGCCATTGTCTGGAATTTTTTTTAAAATATTTTTTTGAGCTTGTCAATGTGAAGCGGCTGGATGATGAATATCTGGATATTTATTCAAATAGTTTTCTTTGGCTTGGTATTTCTTCTTGGTGCTCTCTTTTTTCCTAGTGCAGTACTGTTCAAGAGTTTATTTCATCAACTGTGTTTAAATATGTCATATTCTTGCCATATTTATTTGGCCCTATCTGCATTGGAAATCACAGGATATAAATATATTTATTTTATCTTAATGTTTGGGTGTTTGCACAGTTGATAGGAAAACAGGGAAAAATCAAGTTAAGCCCCTTCCGGCTTACCTGCGTTGGCCTCACATGCAGGCTAATCAAGTTCAGGGGCTATATTTAAGGGAAATTGGAGGTGGTTTCACAAGACACCATCGAGCCCCATCAATTCGATCTGCATGTTATGCAATAGCCAAACCATCAACTATGGTGCAGAAGATGCAAAACATAAAGAAGTTGAGGGGACATCGTGTGGCTGTCTATTGTGGTATGGCCTGCTTTTTTGCTAAACTTGTGATTTGAAGTTCATTTTCTCTTTCTAATTTCTTTCAGCTAAAATTTTGAACAATTTCATGGTAAGTTGAATGATGGTTTGAAGATGATTAGTAGTTAAATGTTAATTAGTTAAAAATTGTTGGATCATTATCTTGCAGCCATATTTGATCGATCTGGAAGATATGTGATCAGTGGTTCAGACGATCGTCTTGTTAAGATTTGGTCTATGGAAACTGCATTTTGTTTAGCGAGCTGCCGTGGACATGAAGTGAGTCAAGAATATTGTGAATGAAAGTAATTTTGATAAGTGCAATTTTACCCTTCATTGTCATTAAATCTTCTGCTGTGGTTATGTGGATTGAAGGGTGATATCACTGATTTGGCTGTAAGCTCAAACAATGCTTTGGTGGCATCTGCATCAAATGATTTTGTCATTCGAGTTGTAAGTCTGTGTTAACTTTTGTTATCTTCCTGTATTTCTTGGCAAACTGAGCTGGTATTACCTTGCAACAGTGGCGCTTACCAGATGGAATGCCAATATCAGTTTTACGGGGACATACTGGAGCTGTTAACACCATTGCATTTAGTCCTCGACCCAGTGCTGTATACCAGCTTTTATCGTGAGTCTCTCCTATAATTCAATGATATTTTTTGGCTTTCAAATCTTGTTGGTAGTCTATACTAGTTACATATTAAATTTTATGCTAAGATTAGATAAGTGCATTGTTTATGAAAAATTTTGAAGTATTTTTTATCTATGAGGTTTAGTTAAGTTTTATGGTTACTGGTTATAATTTGAATTTATCATGATGATGATAGTGTACTATTATAATTATTAAAATCGTTGATTCCTATGCCCTGAGTTGTAAATTTATTTGCTGCTCTTAAATATCAAATTCTGTGGGCATGTCATCTGCATTTTAAAATATAAAATTAAATTATTACATTAACAAAGTTACCTTTTCTGCAAAGAATGTATTTTTTATCCCTTAAAAGCAATCAAGATTTGCAAGTCTGAGGATTCTTATTTTGTCACCCCACATTTTGAGGGATGCAGGTCATCAGATGATGGAACTTGTCGAATATGGGATGCAAGATATTCACAGTGCAATCCACGGATATACCTGCCTCGGCCTTCCGATTCTCTAACTGGTCAGATCTTCGTTTCTAGTGCTACTATGAATTGGTCAGACCTAGACCTAGACCTAGATATGGTCTGAGTTTATTGGTCAGGGATAACTACAATACTATCTGAGTTTATTGGTCAGGGATAACTACTATACTATGTTGTGGATTGTGCTATGCAAAGGTTTAGATTCTACAAAATAAGTCAAATATAAAAGCACATTTTGGAGTAATATGTATCTTAGAATAAATGTAACATTCATATCTCTTTTTTTTTTTTTGGCCGAACATTCTTATCTCATTCAAAACAATCAAATTTGGGACTTTTAACATGATCTGAACTTTTTTGTCATCTTTGTGCTTAATGCTAGTTCAACTTTAGATCAGTAGTCTGACTTGTCGATTGCCATAAATTCTTGTTATTTAGCTATTCTCGATTGCTCATAAGATTGTGAGAAGCAATGTAAAGTTTATTGCAGGTAAGAACAATGGTCCATCTGCTAATTTACCTTCCTCAAGTAATGGTCAACAAAGCTATCAGATACTTTGTTGTGCGTATAATGCAAATGGAACTGTTTTTGTCACTGGTAGCTCTGATACTTTTGCAAGGGTATGTTGACTTAGGACTTCTCTGATTTATTCTATCATTCTTCCACTAATGCTTTTGACTTCTACTTGTTTAAATGTTACATCTACTGAGATCTGTTGACTCGGCTACAATTATTGGTAGGTGTGGAGCGCTTTTAAGTCTAACTCAGATGATTCAGAACAACCAGTACACGAGATGGATTTGTTGGCTGGCCATGAAAATGATGTTAATTATGTGCAGTTTAGGTTGGGTAGTCTTAGTTATATCTTTCTTTTCTTTTCTTTTCTTTTGTTTATTTATTTTATGCACAGATTCATTTGTCTTTGCAACTTCCAAATGCAGTGGTTGCTCAGTGGCTTCGAAATTTTCAACATATGACTCTTTAAAGGAAGAAAATGTCCCGAAGTTCAGAAGCTCCTGGTCAATACATATTTTATGACTTGCATATTATAGTCTGCTATTCTTATATCATGTTTAATATTATTTTTGGTCCCAAATATAAGAGCTAATTGAATATTCAATTTAGTCCTAAATGTGTGGGATCCCAGTCTATTTTGTCTTCCATATTTATTCATTTTTCTGGAAAGTAATTTCCATGATAATTGCACATCTTAAAGGGTTTCCATTCTAATACACATGATAATATTTTAGGGAACACAATACTGGTTTATTTCAAATAACTAACTTGACAAATTTTCTTAATATTTGCAAATTACTTATCTAACTCTTATATTAAGGACCAAAGGAAATATAATTGGTGTAGTTTCTTTTTTCCCCCCAAACTAACTGTGTGATATTGTTGTCATATTGTATTCTTCAGGTTTTGTCATGATAACATAGTTACCTGCTCCCGAGATGGAAGTGCAATTATTTGGGTTCCTAGATCTCGTAGATCTCATGTGAGTTTTTTTAAATAAGGTTTCCGTGGAAATTTGTTTCCTTTTTATCAATAATCGAGGTATATTGAACTGGGTAAATAATAAATGCCTACATGAAATGCATTTTCTTTTCCTAACATGTTAATAGTCCTTAATATGCATAATTTACATGTTGCCTGATGCTATTTCAGGGAAAAGTGGGACGTTGGACTCGTGCATATCATTTAAAAGTGCCTCCACCACCTTTGCCTCCTCAGCCTCCTCGAGGGGGTCCAAGGCAGAGATTCCTACCTACTCCTCGAGGTGTCAATATGATTGTATGGAGCCTGGACAATCGATTTGTACTTGCTGCTATCATGGGTAATGTACTAGATTTAAATTGATGCTTTAACAGGATGGGAAAGTTTATACCAATTTAGATCCCACCAATTTGCCTAGATCATTCCAGTGGTTGAATTTGGCAATTTTGGCTATTAATTGTTGGAAAGTAATATTCCATTAAGTTAAGGTGGGGAGCATCTATAAGTTATTTTATCTTCTTTTTACTACTGATTGCTGCTGATACACTCACCACGCCATATCCTCAATCTGTTCATCTTTTTACATTTATCCATGCATTATTGCAACTTTTTTAACGTCTTCCCCTACCATGCTTCTTTGGAGGAAAATTTACTAGAGTACAGTCTAATGGCAGCAAAGATGGTTGAATGCATCTGCTGATGACTGGTCTTTTCGTCTTGCAGATTGCAGAATATGTGTTTGGAATGCAGTTGATGGAAGCTTAGTGCACTCTTTGACCGGCCATACTGCATCTGTAACCTCTACTTCCCTCGCACCCCCTACCTTTTTAATTTTATTTTTTATGCAGTCGTAGTTTGCTCTTGACTGAAGCAAGTTTGATTTTTGTTATATTATTGGTACCTTTTCACCTTAATTTAAACTTTCTAATCTTGCTTCACTTTTTAATGTTTTTCAGTCTTATGTTTTGGACGTTCATCCCTTCAACCCTCGGATAGCTATGAGTGCTGGCTATGATGGACGAACAATTGTGTGGGATGTAAGCTTCTCATATTTTGTGTTTTTAAGAACTCTGTATCTTAAGTCTTAATGTATATTTGTCTAAATTATGATTCTCTGATATACTGTCTCAAGATATGGGAGGGCGTGCCTATTCGAACATATGAAATTGGACGGTTTAAGTTGGTGGATGGGAAGTTTTCTCCGTAAGTGTCAATAGAATAATCTATATTACCATGCTTTTATTCATTTATGTTTTCTTATTATCATATATTCTATTGTTGTCCCTTTTATTGGCAAAAACAAAAAATTGCCCTTGTCATGTTTATGGTTTTCTCTTCTATTTTTTTTTGGGGTGAAATTGTTGTAGTAATTCCACTCAAAAAAAGTCAACAATACATATACACTGAGAGCGAAAGAGATAAATAGGCCACTTTTTAGGAAGGGCTCTTAAAGTTGTCCCAAAAAAAAAAAAGAAAAAGGAAGTGTTCTTAAATCTTAGCCATTTCAACACCTCAACAACAGCTAAACATATACATCGTTTACAAAAACCAAGAATAAGGTATCGTATGCAATATTGCTAGCTCTAAGAAATTCTATTTCAACTAATCTTAATTTCTTGGGAAGACGTGGCTGAGCTTTAATGCAAATCAACACCAAGATTGCCTTCTTTCCTAATGTACCGCCACTGCAGCTGCAGCAGCAAATAAAACATTATGTTGCTTGAAAGAATGTAGCAAAGCCTGTTCCTGACTTCCAAGCCTTCTACTATGGGTGTACAATTTATCAAATCCATGGCAACATTTAATAGCTTCCTAGCCCACTGACAAGTTAAAAATAAATGGTATAGGGGAGTCAACTTGACAATTAAAGGAAATCAATCCTTCCTTACTAAGCAACCTCTTCTTTGTGATGAACCACATAATATATGAATGTTTTGGTATATTGTGTTTACTCCATACAAAAGGGGCTTGAATAAACCTGGTGTCTTGTTTTTGTAACCACTTATTACCTGATGTCATGGTGTATATGCTGTTTGGCTTTGAAAGCCAAAAACCATCTTCGAATCCCTGTATAAATTTGCATCTCAAGTTCATTAATTTCCTTCAATACCCCCATGCATGTTTATGATTTTCTTTGTATGAAGATTTTGGTGTGTTCCGTTACCATACTATGGTAAATGGGTAATAATATAATTAATGTTTTCTGTGCTCTTTGTTTTCTCAAGTTAATTTGTCTTGTCACTTGATTGTATTTAATTTGGGCAATTATTTACTCTATTTAGCTATCTAATCTTTTCATGTGATTTTTATGTAAATGAATTCCTTCCCTCCATATAAGTGCTTATTAAATCATGCAAATCTCATCACATGTACTATGGCTTGCTTTTGTATCGTTCTGGGCATTCAACCTGATCAACACTTTCACCAATTGGTTTTTCTGCATTCATATCCACATCAAGCTTCCATTAAGTGTTTGTGCCTGCTTCTGTGTGTGTCCTGCCTGGTGAGGAAATTATGTTAGCCATGACTTAATACCACAACACCACATGCCTGATGAGTTTTCTAGCGTATCTTCATGTATACATTCTGATTGTAAGTTAGCTATCTATCACCTCAAATTCTGACATTGCTGCATTGTCAACAATTTTTTTTGGCACATAGGGATGGAACATCAATTGTGCTTTCAGATGATGTTGGCCAAATATATTTTCTGAATACTGGTCAAGGCGAGTCCCAGAAGGATGCAAAATATGACCAGGTGATCAAATATAGACATGCTGATTCCCCTTTTTTTGATAACCATTTTAGTATTTAATAAGATTTTTCATGATGGTACAAGTTTAGTTATGATGTATTGTATCTTGATTTATCTTGCAGTTTTTTCTTGGGGATTATCGACCCCTTGTACGGGATATCCAAGGAAATGTTCTTGATCAGGTTTCTACTAACCGTTATGCCACTGTACTTGGTGATTTTGTCATCATGATTGAGTTGAAATAAAATATTTTGTTTTTCTAGGCATCCAATACATCTGCTAATATATATCACACTTGATGCAGGAGACTCAACTTACACCATACCGAAGAAACATTCAAGATCCTCTGTGTGATTCTAGTATGCTTGGTTCCTATCTCGTAGTTCATGCACTTTATTTTGTTGGTCGAAATACTCCAATAAACTATTTTCATTATGGTCCCAGGTTTGTTGCCATATCCTGAGCCTTATCAGAGTCAATTTCAGCAACGTCGGCTTGGTGCTCTTGGCATTGAATGGCGTCCTTCATCAATAAAGTATGCTGTTGGTCCGGATTTCAGTGTCAGCCAGGACTACCAGGTGATCCCCTTGGCAGATTTGGAAAGAATGGTTGAGCCGCAACCAGAGTTCATAGATGCCATGTTGTGGGAGCCAGAAATTGAAATTATTAGTGATGATAATGACTCAGAATACAATGTAAACGATGATAATGGCAGTGAAGCGGAGCATGGGAGTATAAGTTCAATCTCTTCTAGTGATCCAGAATGCAGTGGAGATGATTGGGATAGCCTTCGAAGGTCAAGAAGGAAAAAACAAAATGCGGAAGTAAGTGGTCTCTTTAACTATTTTGGATTAAATATTTGATTACAACTTCGCCCCTAACCTCAATATCTCTCAGGTCGAGTCAACAACTTCTTCTGGAAGGCGTGTCAGGAAAAGGAATTTGAATGATTGTGATGGCACACCGTCTGGAAGTAACAGAACTAAGAAATCAAAGAACAGCAGGAAATCATCTAAAAGAAAATCTTCCAGCACTAAGACATTAAGACCTCAGCGGATTGCTGCACGGATTGCTCGTAATATGTTATCCCAAATGGATGAAATATCTACTACGGATGGGGAAGATGCTGATCTTGAAGATGAATCATCTGACAGTTTGCAAGATTCAGATATTATTAGTGAGCCTGAAAGGAAGATTCAGAGTATGCGTGAGGAAAATAAGCAACCATTTTTGGATGGGGTTGCTGATGCATCTAAGCCTCCTGCACATTCTGAGTCTCAGGCTAATGTTGGAAATAGAAGGAGACTGGTTCTTAAGTTTTCACTTCGAGATTCTAAGAAAAATTTACCTTTAGAAGACATGGGACATGCATGTGATGCTCAGGCCGATGTGGTATGTCAGTCTTCAAAATCCCTGGGAAGTATTCAAAAGTCTGTACTCGACAAATGTTCTGTGGGCCCAGCATTATCATTTATAGATGTGAACACTGCTCCTCCCCAGAGCCACGACAAAAGTGAAGATAAGATAGACACATCCAAATCTTCAACATCGAAAGATACCTTGCTCACTGATCCTGGAGGGGTTGACCACCTTGGACAAAATACTATTGGGTATGTTAAATTCTAGATTTTTGTAAAATTGCTAGAGCTCTACTTTAAAAAGAAAAAAAAAGAAGAAGAAAAACTTTTTTCTTAGAATTAAGGTTTTTCCGACCTTGTTTTGCAGAAAATCAGAACAGTTAGTAACCAGTGATGGAGAGAGAATAAGTTGCAGGAGTCATCCAAAGCCTGCTCATCTTGATACTGGACTCCAACCTTCATCTCTTGAATCTTCATTACTTGGCAACCATTTTCTTAACGGTGATGGCTCATTGGCATCTGGGAATGGGATGTCAAATGGTGGTGACAAACGCACAGAGGACTCACTAGAAAGAACTGAAGTTACTCCTGACCTCAAAATGAAAGCACCTATGAATTCAACAAAGTTAGTTCTTAAAAAGAAACAAATTTCAGCGGACAATAAAAGTCCATGCAAACTGAAATTTGTTAGCCCTCAGATAGATGCTGAGAATTCCTCATTTATGGTGTCTGGTTTAGGAATGGAAGTACCTGAAGAGGGTGACTATAAAGTACATGATCACGCCCAACAAAAGGACAGATCATCAAAATGTGAGGCCAACCCTGATGTTGGTACTGACGTGGAAGAGAACACGCTAATTGTCAGTAGACATATTGATTCAGGAGTTGATCGGTGTGATCCAGTAAGTGATCCAATACATAGAACACGATCCATTAGAATAAAGACATCAGAGGAGTCAAATAACATGAACCTAAGGATTAAGATTCGAGGGGGTCAAAATTCTGGTGGAACATTGAATCAGGCGGGATCTTCCACTGACATGTCTGATCAACTCCATCGAAGATCCAGGCCTTCAAGAAGCAGACGGGGTGGGTATTTTGCAGATGATTCTGATACATTAATTCAAAGGATGTCAAACCCCCCTATCAAGAAGTTGTCATGGCTGATGCTGTCAGAGCATGAGGAGGGTTACCGTTATATTCCTCAACTTGGTGATGAAGTTGTATACTTGAGACAGGTAGTTTGTGGTTCTTTTACCTTGTAAAATTTAGTTCCTCGGTAGTTTGCTTTTATAACCTGTTCCTTACTTGGTTTTTCTATTGGCAGGGTCACCAAGAGTACATCGAGTCATGTGGGTCCTATGAAGTTGGTCCTTGGAGATCAACTACAGGACTCCGTGCTGTTGAAATTTGCAAGGTTGCAGAACTTGATTATGCAACGGTAGCAGGTTCTGGAGATAGCTGTTGTAAACTCAAACTTAGATTTGTAGATCCTTCTTCTAGTGTGTGTGGTAAATCATTCAAATTAACTCTGCCTGAATTGATTAATTTTCCGGATTTTGTTGTTGAAAAAACATGGTATGATACTGCCATGAGGAGAAATTGGTCTCCAAGAGATAAATGCATGGTGTGGTGGAGAAATGCGAACGGGGAAGGGGGAAGTTGGTGGGAAGGCCGCATTCTTTCAGCACAGGCCAAAAGCCATGAGTTTCCAGATAGTCCTTGGGAGAGGTATCTGATCCAGTATAAGACTGATCCTACAGAAACCCATCTGCACAGTCCTTGGGAACTGTATGATCCTGAGATACAATTGGAGCACTCTCACATGCACCATGAGATCAGAAATAAGCTGTTGTCTTATTTCTATAAACTAATCCAGAGAGTGAGTATACATCTTTTCGTCCCATTATTTGTCTTTTATTAAAGTAGGCTTTTTAATATGCATATCTTCAATTTTCTGAGTTAATAAAATGGGAATTAAGTAGCTTGAAAACGAAATAGGAATGAGATGTCTGAATTTTTTTCCCGCTTTTCTTAATCCAGGACAGTGATGGTATCCAGGCATTGAACCGAGCAGCTGAGAAGTCAGACTTTTTAAACAGGTATTAAAACGATATTTGCAGCTTAACTATAAAATTGCAATTTGTTACTTTATCAGAAAAGCGGTGGACAGATTTACCCTTGTGATTTTGATAAAGCCTTGTGCTGGGAATGTCAGGACTCCGTATCATTCCTAATTTATACTCATTGCAAGCAAACCTGTAATTTAATTTTTTTTCCCTAATAAATGAAAGGACGATGGAAGAAGGGGAGAGAAGTGAGAACAATTGGAAGGGGTTTCTTTTTCTTTTTTCTTTTAAATGTAATCATAGCTAGATAATGGAGTGAAAAATTGATTTTTTTTTTAATTTGTATTACAGGTTTCCCGTTCCATTATATCCTCAATTGATTCTATCAAGGTTGAAGAATGACTATTATCGGAGTGTAGAAGGTGCTAAGCACGATATCATGGTAATGCTAACAAATGCTGAGAATTTCTTTACAAAAAGTCCTGCGCTGTTGAGCAAGATCAAGCGCACATCAGATTGGTTTAGAAGAAAACTAGAAAGGATATAGGAAGTGTAATACAGATTTTATGATTATCTTCAATTTTATTCCATTCTTTAATCCAATTTTGGGGGGATGAGTTGTTCTGTAGGCAGTGGCTTCTTAGAATGGAGATGGCCGAGATGGTTCGTGTATATCGATGGGCATATGTGTGTGTGTGTGTATATATTGGCTCATCTTTGTAGATGTCAATTATCTACGAAATGATAGATATGGGCATTTTTGCCCTTTTCCGTGTCTGAATGCTTTAGTTTTCCAGTGGACACAAGCACGTGTGGTGCTATCGCTTTTAATATTTTTTGGGGTTAATATAATTTTTGGTCTCTTAAATTTGTTCTCATTTTGGTTTTAGTTCCTCAAACTTTTAACCATAAATTTCGATCCTTGTAGGGGTAAAATGGTCTAAATTTTTATTGGATTATAAGAACCAATGTTTTAAATGAAAAGAAATTTGAGTGACCAAAACTTATAGTTTAAGACTTAAAGAACCAAAATCAAAATGAAAGTTTGTATTAATCCTATTTTCTGAGTAGTGAATAGACAGTGGGGGTACAGACAAGGACTAGGAAGTGGGGGAGCCTTGGCAACAATCCGCTCTTCTTTAGCAGGACTAGTCTGGGTTACTAGTCGTTTTTCCTCCATTCTCTGGTTGTTTATCAAGAGTCTAAGATTACTTGGGCAGTCTCTTCAAACACTTAACAACAAAAGAGTGACATTTATCTTTTCACAGCTTTTTGCAAATATAAATTCGTATGATACTGATTGATAATTATTTGTTCAGTAAATTTAAGAAACAGTTGCATAGCAACTTAACATAATAGTGATATAATAAAAGGTTAATAGAAACAAATAAACGTAAAATTAGAGACACAGTGTAAGGAGTGAACTAAACGTGTCAAAGGATAATACGCCAATTCAGCCTGTATTATTGTGTATGTCTTTAATGGCAGCCAGTAAATGGTGTGGTCTAAGTGGCTTGCCTAAATGAGCGTCCATTCCTGCGTCCTTCGTCACGCTGATCTCCTCCCCTGACGTATGAGCTGTTAAAGCCAGGATAGGAACATGAACCCCATACCCCTTCTCCATCTTCCTTATCTGCTTCGTTGCCTCAAACCCATCCATTACGGGCATCTGTTCAATATACCAACATAAGTAAAAGTATCATCAATACTTTATCAACACCTACAATGGAAACTCAAAGTTCGTTCAAAATTTAACATTTACCTCACAGTCCATTATGATGTAATCATAGGGAAAAGCCCCCTTTAAACTCTCTTCAACTAGATTTACTGCTTCTTTGCCATTCTCGCATTCCTTCACATTAGCTGCACTTGCACCTAGATGTATCAGGGTCTTAAAAGCTATCCTGCGCAGATATTCAACATCATCTGCTATCAAAAACTTCTTGCCACACAAGGGCTTGTCGTTGTTTGAATAATTGCACTTTTGTATCTCTTTGTGGTCGATTGGAGAATTCCTTGCTTTGAACTTGCTAGAAGAATACAGCTGATCCCTCCTTGATGAATTACCATAGTCTTGAGATGGGTTTACACTGGATGAGGAAAATTCTGCTCTGTCTGATATAGGTGACTGATATCTTGATGTGTGGCAATCTTTGAATGATTTCCTAAGTCTATTGTGAAAAGTGTCCTCCCTTACTCTTCCAATTCTAGATATATTAGTTGAACTACCCCCAAACTCGGGAAGAAGCCTCATAATTTCAAACAAACGACTACCTTGAAATGGCTTGGACAAGATAATGTCATCAGGATCTAATGCATCCTCACCAAGTGCTTTGAAACTGTCTCCACAGAGTGGCTTATTTAACCAAACCACCTTGCAAGGACTCCCAAGGTCTCTTTTGAATGCAAATACAATTCTGCTAAGTTCTGAAAAGGGTCCTGCAATTGAATCAATCACAAGTAGAACCAGACCCGAAGAAGCTCTATCTTCTAACCTGTTAAAAATCGAAGGCATATAGTAAATTCCATCTGTAGCGCTCAAAGGAAATCCTCTGGCTCTGGAATTAGAATTTTGAGATGCAGATCTAGAACTAGTATCTGATGTTCCAATGGAGCTCTGGTTAGAATTATGCCCCTTCTCCTTGATCTTCTTAAGAGTATGAGACAAATGTTCCCACTGCCTCACAACCTTAACTCTAATCCCTAAGCTCTCCATGAACCTTCGAGTAGTCCTTCGTCTCTCTTCGTTTTGTATCAAAAGAATAATGCAAGAAGCCCCTGACCTACTAGAGGCGAAAATAGGTAATTTTGGGCTGGGGGAACATATGCTAGAACCAGAACTAGGGGTGTTTATATCTTGTCCTTGAAATTGATTGAGATGTATGTCACCTCCTAAATCATTATCTTCTTTAGTGTTACTACCACCTGTGACTGTCTCACAAACGTGAAGGAGGACGTTGAATCTAAAGCATGATCCTTTTTCACCTATTTCCTTTTCCATAATTCCAATGTCCCCATGCATCAAACGTACCTACAAAAAAATTTCAAAATTTAGTGTTAAATTCATTTGGAACAATTGATAAATCTTTTTGCTCAAAAAAATAAAATGAAGAAGAAGAAGTTTGGTGCCTACCAGTGATTGCACAATACCAAGTCCCAAACCCGTGCCTCCTAGTCCTGAAGCATTTTCTTTGACTTGAACATAATCATCAAACACTGACTTATGCTTCTCTTTAGGAATTCCTTTTCCTGTATCATCTACTTCAAACACAAACTCCAACAAGTTTGGCTCTCGTTGGATTGCATTTCTTACTTCTACTTTCACATCTGATTCATTTTTCTTGTAAAATAAGCATGGAAAATGCTTGATAAAATTGTATCTTTTAGAAGCCATTATTGACTTCTGGAAACTTGGCTTTTGAGCCCAAGCTCGAACTACTACATGTCCCTCATTTGTAAATTTGACAGCATTGTTTAACAAATTATACAAAACTTGTTTAAGCTTTCCCTTGTCACCTTTCACATGCGAATATCTAATAACCGAACCGTTGCAATGGTCCAAGACAAGATCGACACCTTTTTTCATGGCCGCAGGATAGTACCAATCAGTTGCTTCTTCTATGACTTGGGATAGATCAAACTCCTCTTCATCAAGCTGCATTTTCCCTGCCTCAATTTTACTTGTATCAAGAATAGAATTCAATAGCCCTATAAATAAAGCAGTAAAGTCAGTGCATTCCATGAAAGCTCTACGAGAAATGAATTAGGAAAAGATTTAATCATGTACAATTTGAGTGATTCGATTGAGTACTTTTACCTAGCAAGTCTTCTGTGCAAGTACCCATTTGTTTCAAATTGGCCTCTAGCTCTGAACCAGGGATAACTTCTTCATAGGACATCTCTATCAAACCAGTAAGGCCAGCAAGGAAAGCACGAATATCATGGCCAGCACTAGCAAATGCTAGGCTCTTGTTCATACTCTTCCTCTCTGCTTGCTGAGTGGCTTCCATTTGTTTGATGAGAGAGAAGCACAAACGCATCTCTCGCCGACCCATTATAGCATTTAACAAAAGAAAACTAAAGATAGAGGCTAATATCATCACTATCATTGTACTCATTAGCACCAATCCCCGTTTTCTACTCTCACGTACAAAGGTCACTAATCCATTTTGGGGGATAGCCAAGACGTACGCCTAAAACATGATCAAGTACAGTGTTATATACCCTCAAAAAAAGTTAAGCGTCGAGAATTATTAGTTTCGTTTAAATATATCAAGGTTAAATTTCAAAGCCCTGGAGGGAAACGCGCTACCATTCTAAATTTTTAACAAGTATGATTAATTGCAGCAATGATGACACGTGTCGTAATTCACAACAGATGCAGCTACACTAATTTCCTATTCTTTTCCTTAATCGAGTATAATACTTTTTTTTTTTGCTAAAAATACTTCATATTGCAATGCAGAGAATATGTAAATTGATTAAAACGTACCAATTCTACTCCCATTATATCAATTGATGAGCAGCGTGTCAAATATTGAGTATCCCCAATCTTCAAAACAGAAGCTGTGGCTTCAGCTTTACATGAGACGAAGCCCTGATTACTCAGAAGCTCACCATTTGGTTTCACTGAATAGAAGGAAGCCGTATCATCATAGAATACTATATGGGCATGTTGGATTCCTTGCAGAAGCACTTTTCCATCTTTGGAAGCCAAATACAAGCTTGAACCTTGACGCCTAGTGGGAGTGACAAAGTCTGTAATTGTCGATGCTGGAAGTCCTAAGGAGATAACCCCTGTTCTTGAGATACTGACAAGATTAAGGTATAAAATCTGATGATTGCCACTCCACTTGTATCCCAACGAGGCATATCCGTTGGAACTGTTGACTGCTTCCTGGGTCCAACTCGTATTAACAGGATGCTTATATGTTACGGCTTCACCATATAATCCTCCAGTGTCAAGATTTACAGGTTGAACGTAGTATGTGATTTTCGAAGAACCCGAGGCTGAAGAAATGGAAGAGTTAGAGTACATTGCAAGATTTTGATCATGTTCTTTGTAGTATGAGAAAAATAGACCATCCATCCCAATGTATGAGATTTCGGACAGCTGAGGAATCATCTTAAATGCCTGAAATAACACCGGAGCCACCTATAACACAACAAAAATTAATGTTAAAGAAACAACAAGAGCCGTCTTTGTATATGACGAGAAAAACCAGAAAGATACCGACTTTGGTCTCAACGTCAGAGAACGAGACATTGGTCGTCTTATTGAAGGTTGAACTTAGAATTCGTGCCAAATTGACTGATGCCGACTTCATGGGGGGTAATTTTTTGGCAGAGTGGTCAATCTCATCTTGTAATTCCAAGAGAAAATTCTGTGAGTTTGAATTAACACGCTGCTCAATGCGTCTGACCATAACATACCAGCATGGCGTCAATGACAAGACAACAACCAGCGCAGCAAAAGCCTACATCAAATGTTTAAGGTTGCAAGTTTAACAGAGAAATGATATTTAATAGTTAATAGAGAAACGGGGAACATTTACACAAGACAAGGAAAACATTGATTGACAAAGAAAATTCATGTCAAAAAATTTCACGAGTAACTACCAGGAGAAAGAAGATCGCTGATGAAGGGCGGAAGATCATTGATAAGCGAAAACTCATTGGATTGGACTTTCTAGATTTGATGAACTACTGTTATCTCTGGTCTATGCTTAAAACTATAAAATGGAATTGGTATGATGTTAAGCAGTAAAATAGAGGTCTCTGAATGGTAAAAAGTGGCCGGCCAAAATATGCACAAAATCCTATGAATTTATGAGGCTTGATATTAGGAGCAAATACCTCTCATCAAAATTACATTCTTGGACGATACGCTTTCCATATTCGGAGCTCGCTCTCTTACAATGCACAAGCTATTGTCATATCTTATAAAATAATTATTAAAAAAAAGTATTTCCTTTACAATCATGTCCAAATATTTAGTGATTAGTCATAACAAGTTAACCTATGGTGATTAATGTTAGAATCCAATGCAAATGTGCTAAGTTTTGATCTACCGTGATTCTTTCGGCCGCAAGTTTTGGTAGAACCCACCCCAGGATCTTAGATAGTTGGTAATAGATCACGAAAAATAATGAATAAGAAAATAGCTTGACCAACAAAAAATCGGGTTGAGTGAATAGTCCAAGTATCCGACCCTTTGTCCTATTTTTTCCGCCATTTATCTGTTATTTTATTTAAAAGACTTGAGAGGTAAGAGCACCCGTCTGTTCCCCCCCCCCGGGGAATATGAATGTTTGAATCCTCAACCACTTAGCTTTCATTTATTTTTAAGACGTACACTTCAATATATTTTTAGTATTGGCAAAACATTATATCAAAATTATTTTTGAAACATTTACTTTTTTAAAAAATTGCTTTTGTAATTATAATTAACAACAAAAAGGCAGAAATTAATCGCAACCAAGAACAATTACAATATTTTTGGTGCTGAACTGGAGCGTGAAGCAAGAAAACTCCTGCGGCAACATTAAACAATTCGCACAAGACATAAAGAATGTCCAACTTCCACGAGCGTTGTTTTGTTGGTTGTTATCATTATAGTTGTTTATTCTCTGCAAGTAATGATTACTTGAAACTTTATAACCATCTTATATTGTCGATATTAATCCTAGAAGGATGGTCACGTCCTGCTCACAATACCCTTTGGGTGGGTACCTATTGTCTGGTTTTCCAACATGCTTGTTAGGTTAACAGGAGAATCCGGGGATCCAGAAAATAATGAAGATTCGAAGGATAGTTGAAGATCTGACCGGATTTATAAGATTAGACGAATATTTTGTTATCTTTGAATGATTCCTCATTCTAAATGTAATCTTTTAATAAATTCTTGATTAGGATCAACTTCATTGATTTGTTTTAAATTTAATTGGATTACTTAGGTCAAATCCCTAATACAAACACCCCCTTTCGTTTTGTCCGCTTTATTGTCAAATGAAATTATAAGTTCGATTTGTCTTCTCTACTTTTCCTTATTTCTGCCCAACTCTCCTCTCATTCCCCTTCTTTCTCCCAATTTCCCTTCCCCAGGACGAATACAATTGAATATGAATTTAATCATTGCCTTAATTAAAAGCTATGCCTAAAACAATGGAAGAATATGGCAACACGAGCATCGGCACAATGCTCCATTACAAATGAAAGCGAAAGACCACTTTTATTGATGTGCAACAATGGCATCGTGCATCAGTTCACTCTCTTCATCTTCACTGTCGGATATTGATGTGTCGTTGTCAAAATCCTGAAATGCAAGGAACCGTCAATTCTGGTCGCATGTCCAACTCAACCCAAAAATCAGTGTCTGTTAGTTTTATTTTCAAAGGGGAGGAAAAACTAGTAGGTAACCTGGTAGTGACGTTGAATACTGCCATACATGCCTCCAATAGCCCACATGATTATGTACATGGGTAGAATGATCCCGCTTGCTTTTAGTAGAAAGACCTACAAACGGTACCCATCAAAGAAAGGTTAATATCAGAGTACTAATAATCGCAACGATTAGAAAGGCAGGAACTTTCATTAAGGGCCCAAGTGCTTACCGTAAAAAGTGAAAATGGGTAATCTTCCTTTGTATTTGTGAGCACTACGAAAAGATGTCTCAATAGCAAAACGAGGGTGAACTGCAAAAGGAGATCAACTAGTGAGAATTCGACAACTCTGCGCATGTAATGTCATTTTCTTTGCAGTGCAAGAGTCATACTACAGTGATTCCCACCCAAATAAAAATAAATCGCCCTGAGGCTTAGAACATTTGCCGCCCCAAAAGGAATTACAGGGGCTAAGGAGCAATAACATGGAAATAGTCCAAACGGTCAAACAAATCCTTGTTTGTTCCCCTAAGAGAAAATAGATGTATCTCCGAAATCCTTTGTCCAAGTCGGTGCAAGACGCGTTAATCCCAATGCAAGTTGGCATGGTTCACTAATAAATAAGAATAGCATTGAAGAGAGAAGATGCTTACAAATAAAGCCAGTGATCGGCAGCAAGATGCGGTTCTATCAGCCGCAGACGTGCACTCGGAGTAATCTCCTTCTGTTGTGGCTCCTTCGTCACTACCCTCTAATCTTGAGCTTAACGGTTCGTCATCCCTTGGAATTTGCAGGCTATCTCTGTGATAATAATTTGCTCCCATTTTAGTATGGTTAGTTAACAATTCTTTATTGTAAAAGGCAACCATAATTCATTAATTGAACATGTCAAACGGTGGGCTCCGTCAAGGGTTCACATTTTAGAATTTGAAAAGTCCGTTGAATCGTTAGTTGCAAGGCACTAAAGTTCAGTTTGATAACTTTGATTGAGTTGTACGCGGTTATGTTGAGTGCCTTTGAGTTGGAAACTAGAAAGCATGACTCCACACATGCCATGGGCCACGTCATTCATAATAAAAATGTCTTAACTTCTATTTAAGTGCTTCCTAAGATTTAATACGATCGATCAACACATTCATTTTCTAGCTACCAACACTATTTTTTTTTTTTAATGTAATGTCTCTAAAAGGAAACGACGACTCTAAATTATACACACAGCCAAAAAAGGACTTTAAAATTACATTCAGCAGAAGCGGATGATATTCAAATATATCTGCTGGATAGGAGATACCTGATTGTCATAGCCGCGTCATCTATCTGAGATTGCTTTGGGGCTGCCGTATAGCCAGCTTCATATTGCTGCAAAACCAAAAATAAGTTTGTTTTCCTTCTCTCGCCAAATATATTCGTATTTCGTTCTTTAAACTTACAAACGATTCTATTCTTTGAAGGCGTCCTAATCAAAACCTTCCCCCCCCCCCCCCCAAAAAAGGGGGGGGCGTTAGAAAGAAAGCAGAGATTGGGACGAATAAGAACCAGAAAGTTTGTGTATGGAGAAACGAATAAACACGCCTATGGGATAGCTGAGAGACTTATATGCTAAGCAAGGCAGAGGACAAACATGATGCACAGAAATTCAAAATTCAAAATTTTTATTTAACAAAACAGAGAAAAGGATGTGGACTGGGTTTTTATCAGTTATGACTCAAAATCAGAAAAGACAGCCGACCCAATTTGCATAACAATAACAACAACAAAATTATAAAGACAGCCAAATTGTTCTGCCTTCGTTATTAAAGAAACATGAAAAAAAAAAAAAAGAATTGAAACAAGAGATTGAATGATCGAAACTTGGTACCTGAAGACATATTTCACAAGTTGTGTTTCCTTTCTCGTTGCACCATCTCTGTATGCAATCTCTGTGAGCAAACTGCACAATAACACATAGCCATTAAAGAGAAGTTCCAAGAGTATAACAGAATGATCAAGTCAAAAGAACCCAAAAAATTCTGGGTTCACCTTAATGGTCCCAGAACAAGCACAGGGAGCTTCAAGACTTTCGGGGCTCTCAAATTCTTCTTCGTGACATATTCTGCAGCGAGGAATCCCGGAAAGTAATTTCAAATCATCAACCAATAATACTACTTCTTCCATATTTTTCTGGCACCTTCTTCTCTCTGTTTCTCAGAACACCTTCGTTTGGTTTTTCAAATTCTTTCTGTTACTCCGTCTTCTCTCTCCCCCTGTCTTTGAAGTTGGGGCTTTATACAACCGAAAGAGCTCTGAAGTTCCAAAACTGCCCTTGTACGGGGTTCACAAGTTTTTATTTTTTTTATTTTTCCAAAAAAAAAAAAGGAGATGTTCCAATCAATATATAAGCTGTTTTGTTTTCGGCTTACAGCCTACAGGGCGTGTTGACATTAACTGTTTCATAACTGGTGAAAATTATCCTCTGACCTGGGATAACGAAACTTCGTTTTAGCGTCCGGTGAGTGCTTGACACATTCAGGGTTGTGGAACAATTCGGAATTAAGGGAATGAACCCAAAACAAAAAAAGGTAGGCAGAGTGACAGTTAAATATTAAAAATTTGATTTAATGATGGCCAGGTCTCAAAAATTTAATTTAATAACAGTTAGATTCTGGATAAAATCTTATAAAAAAATTCAGTTGCAAATATAAATTTTAAATGTATTTTCTTCCAACAAATGTAATTTTTATCTAAATATATATAGCTTATTTTTCATAAAATTTATCCGATAAACGAACTGCCATTAAATCAGTCTTTTGAAATTTTAATGTCATTCTCCTTAAAAATATACTCCCTCCGTTCCTTATTATAAGAGACATTTGATGCTTATGGTATGTTCTATATATAAGAGACACTTAAAAGTTGTCTCTACTTTTTTGTGTTGATTTCTATTTTACCCATATTTATTATCGCCAACTCACACTCTCTTCCCTCCCACTTCTCTTTCTTTTAATATTTTAATTGTTCTCTCTCATGCTCTCTTTCCTTATCAATGAGGGCATTTTTGAAAAACAAATTATATTTTTTACACATTAATTGTTCTTAATTAATTTTAACTGTTTTTTTTATCAACGTACTTCAGTTATTTGTTTCTTATTAAGAAACGGAGGGAGTATGTTTCTAGAATCTCTTTAATTATTACAAATTACTACTCCAATCCTAAATATAATATTCTTATACACATTTGTATAAAGTCTTATATTAGTATTAAAAAAAACAGAGAAGTCCCTGTTTTTATCAAGTCGAGGGAAGATAGGATGGGAGAGAGATGCATCTTGTGTAATCCTTTTCGTAAGAAAAGCATCCTGCCTACATTTAAAATAAAAATGAGAAAAAGGCATCCTGCAGCATTTTTGCATAAGTTCTTTTCCCCTTGTCCAAATAGCGAGTTACTGTGGAGTGCGGATGATACGAGGAGTTTTAATTTTTTTTCTTGAATCAAAACATTTAACAATAGAGCATACAGATATATATATATATATATATATTTCATATGTTTGAACAGAGATATTAATATTTGGTGCGTATTGTTTTGTTCCAAATTTTAAAATTTGACTAACTGGGAACTTTTGAAGAGATGCTATAAAATAAGTAGGAATAATAATTATTCAAATTTTCAAAATAATAAATTTGATATTTTTCCACCCTGAAGACTTGAAGTGCCTTTGCCTGCACATTGCGGCCGTGAACATCCGAGGATATTTGCTTTAAATTAATGAGGTGAATTTTTCAAAGTTGGCTTTCGCCATTGTCAAAGCTGCCAGGGTTGACTATAATATCTGCACCACCCCTCCATTAATGGTGACTGCTGTTTCAACTCTCAACAAGCATGTTCATTGGTTTAGCTGCATGAGGGGAAAAGAAGCAAAACAAAAGGTTGTATGAGTAGCATGTCAGATAATTGTGGCATGATATTGCTAAACTAGCAATTAAAGTAAGGTGAGATATGAGAATAATTCGGAATAATCCAAGAGTAGGTTGGAGAATAATGCAAATAATGATCAAAGTGATTCATGGCGTTGGGTACGTTTTAAATCGGGTGCGCGAATAAATTAAATCCGCACCGGCACCGATCAGCAAAACAAATCATTGTTAATTTTATAGAAAAGCTTGTGTTTCCGAATTAGATTAAAGTCTGGGGGCAATTCACAAGTGGAGGAGGATTAAAGAAAGCTTGATTATGGGCGTCCGCGTTCACAGCTAGGAACTGTGCTGTCCGCCCGCCCCGGTTTCAAATAATCGGGCCATTGATTCGTCACCAACGGTAACAAATGTCTGGGGAAAATAAGATGACTTTCTTCTTTTTCTTCTTTTTTCCCCCCGCAAGAAGGTGGCCCCACGTCTGTATGGTTGGTCAGCGTAACAAACGCGCTCACCCCAAGTGCGTGAATCGGCGGGCCCCCCTTTATTATGAGGCAAATTAATGATTAATAGATGATACTAATAATTATGACTTGGCCAAGTGGGATGCTTTAAACTAAAAAAGCATGATTTGTAAAGGTGAAGTCTGCTTGGAAGAGGAAGCTGACACACGTGTTTATCCTTTGCATCGTCGGCCTTATCGTCGTCACCCTGAACTGGCTGGCTTTATCCGAAACAATAATGAGCAATCCTTGTGATTCTGGAGGCCACAGGGCTTTTGAATTTGCGGCCTTTTGGTCGGCGTCTCTGTGGGGATCCTCATGCCTCACCCCCACCTCTGCCCATACAAATAGTACTATACGCAGAATTAGCATAGCTTCGTATTAATGATCCAGAGCTGGGGGCATTTGGTGGAGGTTGATGGCCAACTTGTTAGGTTAGATTAGATGAACGTGATGTTATCATTGAGTTTGGCTTAAGCCATGGGCTTACGTTATAATTCTCATCCCAAGCAATTCCCCATGTTGGTGGATCAACAGTTTCAGTTGGGATTGAGACCGAAAGGTGTCCAATTTATTATATATTTTCATTTATTTTTTTCAATTTCTAATACCTATTTTCAAATACCTCAGTTGACTGTGGGGAAGCCTTCTCCATGTTATGCAAGGGTTTTAAAAGTACATATCCATTTAAGAACATTATAAATGATACTAGACTCTTGTTTCATAAGAATTTGATGATTGTACCAATTCATATTCATAAAGAGTTTATTCTTACTACTGATCACCTAGCTAAGCTATTTCATTTCATAAAGAATAACTTTTGTACCTTAAATCAATTATCTTCTACTGTGGAGGGGGAGGCTGGTAGAGAAAATTAAGTCGTCTTGTCTTATTTCTTATTTTGCACAGATTTTAGTCTTAAAAAATCACCTCAGTCGACATCTTAGTTTTTGTTTCTCTCTCTTTTCGTGGGCCAACCGACACGCAGGTTTAAAGATATGACCAGCGAGATGTGGGCGTTCTCTTGAGGAGAAGATGGTCCGAGGGATCATTTCGAAAGGGTCAATGGGCCATTATAAAGCCCGGTTTATGTTACATGTTGGGCTCCTCTCCCATTATGGGCCAAAAACGGAGAGAGCCGGATGTGGGCTGCTTTGAATTCTTTGGGATCTTGCGTATTTAGGAGGAATTTCTGGACCAAAACAAGTCATTTGACCTTATGAGAATAATTAACATATTTATACTCACAAGCATATTTTTATATGAAAGTTTAACTTATTATCTGGAAAAGCTATTGCTATTATCGTTCATTAAAATTCAAAGGAAGAGTGATAAAATTAAATGATGGAGTGGGTGGTTGCAGCATAGAAGGTTGTAGATGGAACGCGTCATTGTGAACAAGGAGCGCTTTTTCATGGGTTGGAACTTGGAAGGACGACTGGCTAAGCAAAGCAGAGGCATGCCATTTTAAAAGGATAGGAGAGGGTGGCCCATTTAAATAGACCCCGCCATTATTGTATTTGTAGGGACGCTCCACTTGCAAGCCATTATGCCACGCGTCCACCCCGCCTTCTGGAAAAAAACACTCAATTTTCGCCATCCATCCACTGGAACCTCCTTACTCCCTGCACGTCATTTACTTTTGTTCGTTGCAGCTTCCTTTCTCTGTCTGGTGACCCTGACACCATGGCCAGATGCTCTGGATGTCCTGCTCACATTAGCTCACCTTCCTGGAGCTTTTCAACTATGCCTCGCCCAGTTGTCCAGTAACACATTTTGCCCGGCACTTTTTCAAACCGCTTGTCTTTTGTTCCATTTTCTGGGTCGTAGAAGTAAGTCGCATGTTTTAGGGGAAGATATCTAAGGTATCAAAATATCTCATCTTAACTTATGCATCCCTGTATGTAAATATCTTACCTCCGTATCCCCCAAAATATCTAGTTATCCACTTATCCATGTAATGACAAAAGGTGGTAACTTTCAACAACTTGATTGCATTTCTTTATCTTAATTATTGATTGTTAATTATTAATTCAATGTCTAAGAAAATGATACGTCATACACCCAAACAAACGCGTCTTGTGTTACACAAGAGTCGAGACTAATAACAGTGCATCGCCTTGAAACTCTAGTTTTTGCGTTAATCATGCGTTAGAGGTTTATCACTTGCTTGTATCGCTGGATTGGCTTTCTAATCAGGATGTGAGACTTCATCATACAGTTGTTTTTTATTGTTTTTCTTGATTTTTCCTTTTTTCTTTAATTTTTAATCTCAATCCTTTTCTCTTGCCCTTTTTTTTAATCCCAAATCAGCCCCATTCTTAATATCATATTAGAATTTCTGTACTAATCACATGGTAATACTACATCTTGTTCTTAATATAAAAGCTCGTTTGACTTTTATTTTAGTTCTAAATATAAGATTTTAATCTATTTTGTCTCTCATATTTATTTATTTATTTAAGATAGTCTTTGTAATAGCAATAGTTATAACTGATATACTTGATTAACAAGGATATTTTTAAAAAGACAATATTTATTTGTTACAAATAACTAGTTGAACTAGTTTTTTTAATTTACTTAAATCAGTCAATTAGCTTTTATATTAAAAATTGAAAGTAGTACCAAAGTAACTTAAATTACTTTAAATAAACCTTACACGCACAAATTGTTGTGATTAATATCCTAATAAAAAAAGCTAAAATCAAACAATGTGATAACCCCTTTTTGGAGTAACTGACTTTTTGAGAGCAGATTAGCTATTGGCCCAAAAAGAAAAGTAAACAGTCGGTCGTTCTCAGGCTGACTTCGACCCAGCTGGAAATTTAAAAGCAAGACTACAAACCAAACGATAGATGGAGAAACCGGAGGCAGCGAGTATATAATCTGCATCCCATCGTCTAAACTTCAAAGGCCTCGACATCTCTGAAGCCAGACAACAATCAGATTAGGTTGTTTCATTTTAAGGTTGATCGATTGTTGATAATGGAGAAGGAAGGGCAGAAGATTGTGGTGGCGGTTGATGAGAGCCAAGAGAGCATGTACGCGCTTTCATGGTGTCTCAGCAATCTCATTTCTGACACCAGCAACAACATACTCGTCCTCCTCTACGTCAAGCCATCCCCTTCTGTTTACTCCTCCTTCGATGTTCCAGGTTTAATTTGCTTCCCTTTCTAGCTGTTCTTCCCGCTTCGCTATAGGAGTTCTCTGTCTATTCTTTAATTTCTAACTTGCACATTTTTCCTCTGCTTCTGGGTCTATTTACAGGGAATATATTTTCAAGTGATGCTATTGGGGTCATGGAAAAGTTCGGCAGAGACCTGGCTGCTTCAGTAATGGAAAGAGCTGAAGCCATCTGCAGAAACATCGACACCGGCAACGTACGCCTCCTCGTCCCGCTCCTTACATATGGTCTCTTTTTGTTTGGTTCTGTTTAATTTGCTCCCTAACTGGGAATTGTGTGTGTGTCTCGCTGGGTTTGCTTTCTGCAGATCAAGATGCAGAGAGTTATTGGGAGTGGAGATGCCAAGAATGTAATATGCAGCGCTGTGCAGAAACTCAAAGCTGACACCTTAGTCATGGGAAGCCACGGTTATGGCTTCTTTAAGAGGTATAATACCACCCACTTGAATCATTCTTCTGAATTCTGATGGCTGCTTTTGGAATTAAATAAATGATTTAATCACTGAAAGAGTTTCTCCATGCGAACTATTGCAGGGCCCTCCTCGGAAGCGTTAGTGAATACTGTGCCAAGCATGCTAAGTGTCCTGTTGTCATTGTGAAGCACCCATAATCAAATTACATTCCTTCTTACGCTTTTTTCAAGAAGTAGGCTCCTAGGCATGCTTATCGAACACAAATTTCAAATCTGTATAACTCGCCTTTGCATTAATAAAACTGGCTGTTGGTGGAAAAATATACAAGTTGGAATATGTGGGTCTTTACTTGGAGTCGACGAGACAGCAGCTTTCCTTGTTTCAAAATTTCGTAGTGTTACAGAGTACTTGTAAAATTAACCCAGAAAAAGAGAGAGGGTGCTCAAAAGCAAACGCGGAACCTACACACGCACTGGACTTTGTATCCCTCTGTGACTGCGTTTGTAGGGGGCTTGTTATAATTCTGTTTTTTCTTTGGCACGAATATGGTGCATTATTTAGAACAAAGAAGATCCTAAAATTGCTAACTAGAGAGGACAAACTCTTCAGTTAGTTACGTGTAACCTTGTTAGATGTCAAGTACAAACCAGAAGGTGGGGAGGACCCAAAAATTGGCAAGACGATAGGATCTCCGAATTGAAGGAGGGAGAAAGGAAGGTTGATGCTGGATAAGCACTCACTTTTCTTTTTAGCTAGCACCGATATGCACCGACTTTCATCATTAAAATGACACAAAGTGACTAGATTCCCTGGGTCATTACCCAATGAACGGATCCAGTGCGACAGACAAGAGAAGGATAGAAAAAGCACACCGCCAAATAGGTTAAAACAGAAAGATGCTTCCCTGCGTATGTGTGTCGAGTCTCAGTGACTATAAATTTAACAATACCCGTGAGCTACAGCAGAGCAGACTGGAAACATGCCTAATCTCAAATACTAACTCTGGTATTTAATATAATAAATAGGTATTGTCTTTTTTAAAATATTCGTACTAATCAAATGTATTGGCTAGAAGTACCTTTTTATAAGACTGTATAAAAAAAAATAATATGAGAAACAAAATGAAATAAATTATGATTTTATATTTAAAATTAAAATAAAAATTAAATAAAATCGGTAGTAATACTTTGTACAACTTTTCTATATTTTATATAGGGGTGTGCATGAGGCCCGCATGCCCAATAAGCCTACCCGAGCCCGCAAGAAAAGCCCCAGCCCAGCCCAGTAAAAAGCTGCCCAAGCAAAAATGGGCATCTTCGGGCTGGGCTGATTCACGAGCAGGGCAGGGCCACAGGCAGGGTATGCTGCCCTGCCCATTTGGCTCTGCCCGAAAAAATATATAATTATATATATAAGATAATATTATTTTAAGCAATTATCTCTTTTGTTTTGGCCAAAAAAATTAGTTAAAATTAGAAAAAATGAAAGGAACATAAAATTATAATCATATAAAAGAGCTAAATATCAAAATATAAGATTCAATATGCTAAATTACTCCAAGTCAAATTTCCTTCTTTTTCTCTTAGACTCTTACATCCGATTTTTTAAAAGAAAAAAAAAAAAATAAAACCACCTTTCAAATTTTGTGCTTTCACATGATTATAAGAATCTGCCAACTATATGAATAAACTAAGGAATTGAACTCTTGATTTAGCTTGATTATTAAATGTTCTAATTATTAAATATATTTTTTTACCTCCCATAAAAAATTGAAAGTTGAAGAACAAAACTACATAGGCCTTATATATATATGAGTGATAAACTTATTCATGATAATTTTTTTCCTCTCACTTGTCTCAAAACACGATAATTGAATTTTTTTTCTACATATGATATAAGGCATGATGTCATTACGTTAGGCGGGAAAACCCGCCCTATCCAGCCCGTCCTTGCCTTGCCCAAAATGGTTAAGGTTCTATTGGGCAGGACCGGGCAGCGGGCTGCGTTTCTTTCGGGCTAGACATCGGGCAAGAGGTTTGCCCTGTGCAGCCCTAGTTTACTATGACAATCGAGTTTTACAAGGAAAAAAAAAGAAGTGACGCTCCTAATTTGGTTACAATCAAGATCCATCAGAACTATGACATACCTGAAGGCCGAAGCATGTGCTTAAGATTATCGCGACATCAACGAGACAATTTAATTTTTTTTTTAAATAAATGATACTCTCCTAGAAAAAATGAACCATTCAGCCAGGTGGATTTGTTTGCCATACCCATTTTCTTCTGTTTCTCGACACCAAAGGATCGGGCCCTATCCATTTATCCAGCAGCAGAAATAACAAAATTGACTAAATGTTAATGATTAAGATTAAGAAGGTAGATGAGAAAATGAAAGATGAAGAAAAGAAAGAACAGCGTTAAGTAATGGAAGGTCAGGTATTGGGGTGGAGTGCTGCAGGAAACGATAGCTACGGAAGCAGAAGAATAGATTAGGGATTGAAGTGCCCACACGGCAGAAACCAGAAAGGCCCTTCTTTGTCGCATGAGGTGAACGAGACCCAATATCGAATCAGCTCTTTGAATTCAGTAGTCACGGCCGGCGGCCGCAAGTTGGCGGTGGGTGGGATCTTCTTCGAGTGGTAAAACCGCACGAGGCTGTTTTTTTTTTTTTTTGGACACTACACCTGGGAGCTAAAGAGGCCAAGTCTTTTTCGGCCCTGCTCACGCGACCTTCGCGAGCGGCCATCGTGGGCTCCACTGGCGTATTCAAGAGCGGAGATAAAACGGTTACGCTCTGGAGATCATGATCGCAGAACCCGCCACGTCATCACCCCGCTGGACAAGGAGCTTCTGCGCTGGTCCCAGCTAGCAGGGTTCATTCCACGGCATCGGAGTTTGAAACAGGGATTGAAAAACCACGACATTCCGACCGGACGAAAACGAAGGCGAGCGAATATTCAGCATCGAAGCGGGAAACATAACCTTAACTATAAATTCATTATGCTTTTCAATTTTCCAATTGAACTTCCCCGCATATTGTCCATTGGGCCAAATAATGGGCCGGCAATTCGAGTTCTATCTGGGAGAAAGCACTCACAGGCCCTGTAAACAGAAACAAGACGCACCTACTGGCCTAAAATGTTTCATGAAGCTCAGCTTCTGACCCACAAATGTTTTCTCCGGCCCAAAAGGAAGTCCGCCAACCAATTCCGCACAACAATAGTCTTTTTTTCCCGCAAAAATAGAGTCGCATTTTAAATTTAAGCAATAACCTAGTTTGACTTTTCTTTGGCCGCTCAACTTAAATTGGCTTGAATAGCGTCGTTATATAAATTCTTAAGTTTGAAGGACCGCAATTTAAAAAATTAATTTTGTTTTTTAAACACAAATCATAAATTCGTGATATTAAATTTGACAGTGTGACTCAGTACAATCTCTGGAAATTTATTCCTGCCAAATAAATTATCTACGATTTTTTGTTAATCATCATTAGTTAGGTTAATGACATTATTTTTTCGCCCTTTTTGTCTCTTTTCTTCTGTAACACGGGAGTCGACGTAATTTTTCTATCCTTTTTTGTCGTTTTTTAATGTCGCTTAAATACTTCCATCAACCAGAAGGGTAACACCCATTTCAATTTCGAGGAAAGAGGCGAGTAGTTTTCAGGATCTAACAAACACAAATAGACAAGACTACTTCTTATCTGATATTTTGCTGATTTAGAGAGTGACATTAGACATTATTATTCGACAAAACCGTACGTTACTCAAACCGTATGCTATTTCCCAACTACCGTCATAATATCGTATGTTTCAAGAAAAGATATGCTTCTAAATCAATAAACTCCTCGTAAATCTTGCTATATGTTAAGATATGGGTATGAATAAAGAACGCCATGTGCTCGGAGCGAAGGCAGGCCGAGGCCGTATATAAATCTGTTCACTCTTCACGAGTAGGGTCGTTCATTCATTGTACACGTGATTTAATAATGACGTGCAATACAGGGAACCCTCTGCTGCGAAATGACTGAAATCTAGTATTTTTCCTCTCCAAAATTTTGAGAAAGTTATCAAAGACACGAGATCGTGAGGTTTAAATAGCGACAAAATGCCCAAACCTCACTTAATTCGATCACTTCTAACGAAAATTTCACTAGATCAGTGATCGAATCGCGAATTGGGTAATCCTAATGCAGGTGTAGTTGGGTGGTTGCTTCAATTAGGTAAAAGTAGAGAATAGGCTCTTAAAAGGTTAATTAGCTCTTGATCTCTTGGATCAACTCACCTTCTAAACATTACAATATACTACATCCGATCCTAATTATAAGAGCTAGTTGATTAATTTGAGGAGATTAAGAAAAAAAGTTAAGTTAGTTATTTGTAATAAATAGGTGTTGTCTTTCCTAAAATATCCTTACTAATCAAGTATATTGTTTAAAGCTACCATTGTCAGAAAAACTATCTTAAAAAAAATATATAAATATGAGATACAAAATATATTGGGATTTTATATTTAGCATCAAAATAAAAATCAAACAAGGTCTTATATTGAAAACCGGAGGTAGTATTTAAATTAAACATGGCAGGATAATATGAATAGTCCCACGGGCAGGTCAAAGACTGAATTTTTATAGGTACCATGTGCCCCATTACACCCGTCACAGGATGGAGCGGTTTAACAAACGCAGATTCCTGCCTGTTACCTACATTCTCACTTGTTGCCCAACATAACGCCCACGCTTTTCTCTTCTCTCATAAAACTTAGTTTCAGTTCTCCTCCGTTACACGGCCCTCCCTCTCCTTCTACCCTGTTCCTCCACAATTCCCTTGAACCCTGTCATGGGAAACCGAATCTCATTTGGTGGCCCAGATGGGAAAGGAAAAATCGTTCACTGGGATGGGTCTGTGGAGGAATTCGAGAAACCAGTGACCGTGGCGGAGCTGATGCTGGAGCATCCGCAGCAGGTGGTGGTGGAGTTCCGTTCTGCTCTGAACCAAAACAGGCCACTTCCTTTGTCTGCTGATAAGAAGCTTGAGAGGAACAACACTTATCTAATGCTTCCGCTGAGACGTGGGAAGCCTGTTAGATTGAACAGCGAAGAAAGTCGACGCATTCTCTTAATGGTTGACTCTGCTCTGAAATCCAAGTCTCTCTTGTTTTCTTCTTCGAGGTTTCTTTCTCGGCTTGCTCGGGTGTGTCGCGACAGACCAGTTGGGGAAGGGGTGTTGAAGAAAACACAAGAGAGGTACGTATGTTCTGAGACTTTGCCTGAAATTACAGAAAGCACTCCTGAGTATCTGAGCAGACAGGTTTCTGGAAAAGAGTGGAAACCAAGCCTGGACACCATTGACGAGAAGAATATTCAGAGGAAACTGTCAGGCTGCCTGTTTCCCTAGGAGTTTATATCTTCATGTTTAATGTTGCATAAGGTCTTTGTTCCATATATATATCGACCTTTTTGAAGGGCTGCAGAAACAATGACTTTCTGGTTCTGGTTCTGCTATTTCGTTGCGATTAATCTCAGCAACATCGACAAATTTAGAAATACGTGTCTTTGATGTCAGTTGTGTTGGCAGTCAGCTCATTAGATGTCTGGCTAAAATGGAGGATTCAACATGCAAACGGAAATTGAATTTATTTATTACTATCTGAATAGATAGAGGCAAAACAATATTTAGAGACATTCTAGATCATCATAATATCAAAATATGAAAATCTTGTTTTGGTCCTAAAAATATAGTGTTAAAGTTCAAATCCTGATGGCACAGAAGCTTCTCGCTTCATATTGCTCGGTACAAAACGTGAGCACATAAAGACATGATCAGGAAATAAGAGAAGAACCCAAAAAGGGCCTCCTTGAGATTATTTGAAGACGATCTGGGGGCACATCTCAGTGAATGGAGTGAAATGAAAGCAAAGGTAGGTGCGTCCGGGAGCAACGTGTTCCGCGGGGGCATCTTCAAAATTCTGTTGGAGTTGAACGTCCCTTCATTCTCTCCTTCATCAACGCCAGTAATTACTCTGCCATTTTATGAACCCAAACCCCACATTGATAACCACTTCGATACAATTGACGTATCCTCTTCAGTTTACTATAATTTGTTATGAAACAGTAGTAGTAATAATAATAATAATAATATATTATTATTATTATTAATTAAAGGCAGTCTCTTGATTTCTTCCTCTGGTGAATATAACAAAACAGTAACACGATTTTTTTTTTTTTGGTTTGCCTCAGCTGTTATTGCGTTAATAATAACGTGATGGCATCAGTGACGGATCTAGAAAACATGGGAAATAAAAGGCCCAAATTTTATAAACAAATCTGCAGAGCTTGTCCCGCTTGTATCCGTCAGTAGATGGTCTCGCGGAATTGCCTTCCCTCGCATGCATACGCTGAGCGAGGGGATACAAATCAGTTGGCAATGGCGAGATGTGACGCAAGTAAAAATTAAGTTGAAACTATCTTATGTAAAAAATATATACTTGTCTGGTTTTAAATATAAAACTCTTATATTAGTATATATAAAATATTATATTTAAGACCAAAAGAGTATATATTTATGTATATATGTAAAAACAGAATAATATGGGTTTTTTAAAAGTTCTGTCAAGGAAGATCTATTTTTAGTAGGGCCAATAAACGAGTTGAGCCCATTAAACTGGCCTGTTTAAATAAACAGCCGCACTCATGATTTGAAGCCTCCATAAATAAATGAGATTTAAAAGACTAGTTCTATAGAGCCTCGAAATTAAACGGGCCAGTTGGCCAGCCAACAAATTTTTTTTTTAAGAAATTCAATTTTTTTAATGTGAACTTAGTGCTTGTTTAGTTTTTTTTTATCTACCTTTCATTTAGTTTGTTTATTCAATGGACTTTATTGTAGTGTGATGGATGTTTATATATTTGTAACTTAATTTTATTCATATTTATATCTTTTATTAGTAATTTTATTGTTTTATTTTTTTATTTCAATAAAATATATAATAAACATAAAAAAATTATATTTGTAGTTAAATGGGCCAAAAGCCAACGGGCTAGTCTTGAGTAGGTCACCTCACGGGCCAGGCCTGAGAAAATCACTTATTTCTAAGACTCAGGTTTAGACCAGCTGGCCTGTTTATACTCAACCCATGACGGGCTGGCCCATTTCCCAATACTAAGTTTTAGTGATCACTGAGTGCTAGCCCAACCCCAACGACAGGAAGTGCCTGTACGCTGGCTGAGCCACTTGCTATGAAGTCTCAACAGGAGTGGGCCGAACAGGCGCATGTCTTGGGAATTTGCAATTATTCAAAATTAGGAAATGGTGGAGGAAAATATCAGCAACCAACGACGGAGGTAAAATCCCTCAATACTCATGGTACTTTTAGGGACTATGTAAGGAGCTTGTCCTTGTTTTTTGGGCCAACATTATAACCTTCATATTACTGGGAAATTGGAAAGGACGATTCAAGGATGAGCATGCAAACGCAATATCCCTCTCCCACCATACCCCACAGCTTGATGTCTTCATTCCAGCCTCACGAAGGAAGGCCCATGTCTGTGATGGTTCATGCCTCACGGCCACGTCAGGTTAGGTACAAATTTTTTCACATCAACCACTCAGCAAATGTTATAATTCTTATTATTAACATCATCAGAGATCATAATTTGTCGTTCGCCTAATTATTTTTCCCGAGCCACCATCACTGCCTTCTTCTCCTCGTTTTCAGACTGATATAATTACAGAATTAAAGGAAGAATTTCCAGCCCTGTTATCATTCCAGCCTCACCATCAGAAATCATGGAACTAAAATTCCCAATCAATGACCAAATGATAGAAAAGGCCAGCAGAACAGGAATAGAAAGCAAGAACGGACGGGGATGGCGAGGATTTCCTGTAGGACCCGCCTTCGCCATGAGATGCCAACATGCGTTGGGTCGTACCGTGATTTTCAGCATGGCCCAGCAACAACATTCCATCCAAACAGATAAGCTCAAAGGTAGAACTTAGAAGCACCTGATTCCTTAGAGGGCCATCTGCTAACGGAAGACTGCCCTGGCTTCTGAAGAGAGCGGTGTGTTACTTGCAAGTACTTCTACTTAATAGTTAGAGAATTAAAATTGATATTCTTAAATTATTGACTTTCATAGTGAAATAAGTCCATGAAGATTCAGCATGGCGTGTCAAAGGTCGTCGATGACGCAGAAAGGAAGAGAGAGCCTAGTGGATGTTTTGTGACGCAATGTAGTACGGCTTTGGACCGGTGCGCCTCAGACAACTCAGACATTAGAGTCCAAGCTCTTGATGAAGTTTCTTATCTCAGGCTTTTAATGCCTCCCATTGGTCACATCTCCAAGTAAACTCCAGCTGTATATTACCGTTCACAGTCATGGTCATCAAGTTGCGTATTAAATGATGTACAAAATAGTTCACTACAGGATCAAACGTAGTCCACAAGCATGAAATCTTGTTTTCCTCGGGCTATATTCCTAAATATCACTTGCGCTTTGTAAACTGTTATTAATTAGCAACTAGTTACTGATGTATCTAAAGCTATCTGAGCTTACCTACATTTGATTAATTGAATCCTGCAAGGCCGCACTGAAGCTATCTTTATGCTCTAATAATTATTTTATTACTTTCCTGTTTCATGGGTCACCGTGCAAATTAGAACTCTTGGGAACGTACAGCGTGCCAAATCTCTGTGGAGGAGATTCTGGGTCATCTAGTGAAACAGAGCAACTTGTGCCAACTAACACGGATGCAGTGAACCGCAGGCGGTCCATCACTAGGATTTCGAGGATGCAAAATATTAAATTATGTGTCGCAGACCACCCCAGCCAAAAGAAAACACTGTTAGGTCCTGGAGAGACCAGTACAACCTCCCCAGTCGTCTATCGCATAGCTAGTAATGGGACAGAGTTATTCTTCATATTGAACAATAAACATTTAGTGGAAAGAAATGTGAGGTTTAAAGCAAGATAAAGAACGATTATAGATAAGCAACAGGGTAAGGTTCAGGGAAAAATGGTAGACAAAACTTCTGCAACACATTTTTTTTTCTGGGCCTGAAAACTTCTGCAACACATTGCGGTCATCTTCCCTAGACACACTAACAAAGTTTTAATTAATGTTCTTTTGGCAGAAACACTCAACGCAAGTGGATGATTTCTTCTCCTCTGTTCACCCATCACCACACGTGCAGGGTAATTATAAAAATGGATTAATGGAAATCCAAATACCATCCTCAAATCTGTCTTAAAAAATTAAATAAAACCCCCCTCGGTCTTCGATATTATCCATCCAGTTGCAACAGGGCTCCATGGTGGGCCCTCCATCACGTCTTAGGAAGGAAACTAATGAGTTAAAAAGAACCCATTTTCATACCAGAACAATTTAATATTATCAAAGTTGGTCTTATTAGTTATCACATACCCTCCTCTGTGTTACCTTTCTCTGCAAGTTGATCGACAATAACAGAACATAAAAATAATAATACAGTGCGGCTGTCTCCATTTTGTTTTTTTAAAGGCAAAGACTTCTCTTTTGTTTCTTTTTTCGATGCCATCATGTGGTACGGTGTTATCTTCATGACATGATATGCATAAGCCGGACCATGGCAATGAGTTTAGAGCCGGGGGTCTGCTTCTGTCTCCATCTCCCTGACCTTACTTGTGGAAGAAGCTCTCCGCTCTCTCAATTAATAAGATTTCTAACAATATATCTACGAATCCGACGATGCTCTCGCGACTTAGCGCTTAATATGTTGCTTTCTGTTTGTTCTAACACCCAATTCCATTTTGACGACTGGGTGAATTTGTTTATTAACTTGGGAATAATGTGTGATTTACGCAGCCTACTTTCGGTTTTCGTCCATTGTACACTAAGTTCTTTTCTCCAAACTGAACAACTTAAACTGGAATGGTTGGACCCAAACGACATTAATACAGGTGACTAACATAACAACTTTTTGACTCGAACTAATCAAACATTGAAGAGTTCACCCTGCTTTGAATTCGTATCTTTTCCTTGCGGATTTTAGGCATGTAGGTGGTACCTCCATCCTCAATTGGTAAATCATTGACTGACATAATATCCTAATCAGTAAATCTGCATGATTAATTACTCCAAAGGAGAGAATAAAATGATTACGCAGAGGCCATTAGCGTTAGGTGATTAGCGCGGTCGTCTCTAAGAGTCGTAAACCAGGGCCAAATATCTCATCGAAGTTTGGGCCACCTCATCATTTTCTTGTTCAAGAAAAGTTTGTGCTTGCCAGAGATGAGAAATGAGAAATGAGAGCCAGAGCCAAGAAAGTCAATCGGATGCATCTAACACCACCCATTCATTCTAGTAATCAATTATTAATGCTGCGTAATACGTAGGGCCAGCAGTAACCCCGGAACAGGATCGCCCATAGCCATCCATATTTTGGATCAGCGTGAGCCTACAACCCCATCCCTATGTAGTATCCATACATATATGCCTATGACACTGGCCTTAGTCTCATGCAAAAGCTATATAATTATGGTTCGAAAGCGGCAGGTCGATTCCCGTAACGATCTGTTGATGTCACTTGATCCTGTTTTGTTAGCCACCAATCACCAACTCTTATTAAAGTCTCACCAGCCAGCTTGTGCTGATTACTTTCTTATTGTTTACAGTTCCTTCTTCAGTGAAAAAAAAAAAAAAAGAATAAAAAGGAAAAAGAAAATGAAAAGGAAGTATGTACATCATGCACGATATGGACATGGATATCATTAATTCTCTATATATGTATAACGCTCCCCCTCCCTGCCTTCACTCGCACACTTATCCTCTCATCTTCCTCTCTCTATTTCTCACAAATGGCTTTGTCAGCATCGCCGTCGCTGCTTATAATGTGCTTGGTGGTGATACTGGTGGGTGTAACGGTGCAGGGGAGCGAGGCGGCGGAGCCTCTGGCCTGCGATCCCAGAGACGGCAACACCAAGAATTTGCCGTTCTGCAGGGTGTCGTTGCCCACAGGGGAGAGGGTGAGGGACCTGATCGGGAGATTGACGCTTGAAGAGAAGGTGAAGTTGCTGGGTGACAATGCGGCGGCGATTCCACGGCTTGGGATCAAAGGCTACGAGTGGTGGTCGGAGGCGCTTCACGGGGTTTCCAATGTGGGTCGCGGAACAAGGTTCGCTCCTCCATTCCCTGCCGCCACTAGCTTCCCCCAAGTCATCACCACCGCTGCTTCTTTCAACGCTTCCTTGTGGGAGGCGATCGGACGGGTCAGTTTTTTATTGTCTTCTTCTCCTCTTCTTTTTTGGTTACGCCCTGCATCTTCCACTTCGTGCTCATTGCCAATTAGTACCAACAGGTACTTTAGTTCCTTTGGTTTTTTTTGGGTTCCCTTTTTATGAAGCTCGACGGAACAGTTGATGAAAACAGGGCACATTTCGAGTGGGAAACTGCATAGGATAGGACGAATCTTGCGCCCTATCAAAATTTACAAAAAGGAAAAAAAGGGAGACATCACAAGACAATTATTGATCCTATCCGATGATTTGATTAATTATTATTAATTTTTCTCCCCTGTATTTTTTATAGGGCCGTTTTGAATGTCATTTTCACAAAACTTGTTTTTTTTTTAAATTATCTCCTACATTAATTACATTTTTACCCTTAACTAGCTCCACATGAAAGAGACTATGAGAGCGGGTCCAGTAATTCTCAAGGCAGTTTCGGCAAAATGATAGAAGTTGTTGATAAATTTAATATAACTAATTAAAACAACTAGAATTTTTAATTGACATAAAATTGTTAAAAAAAAAAATCTTATATTTACATTTGAATAGGGTAAAATTTAGGGGGGTGAGGAGGAGGCTATGAATTTTAAGAGCAAATTACTCCCTCCAATTCATAAATAAAACGTTTGTTAGAATAAAATTTAAGTCCTATATATAAAATGTTGTCAAAATAATTAATATAATTCATTTACTTTTGTTTTCATTAAATATAAGGGGGGGAGAGAGAAAATGTTAAAAGCGTAACATTAAAGATAATTTAATTATTTTTAGAGGTAAAAAAAACTATATATTTTAATGACTAAATTACCATATGCAAAAAAAGGTTGATCAGTTTTTTATATAATGAAGCATGGAGAGTATTTTGCAGGATTTTGAATTTCGTAACTTATGACCCCAAAAAGAGAAGAAAGAATATTGTAGCTAATAATAACAAACGAGGGAGTGGGCTTTCCTCGTGTTTTGGGACCCGGCGCTGGAGGAGGGGAGGGAATGGCCAGCATTTTGAAGGCAAACCGATAATTGCTTTTAATGTTCAAGTTGCATATGGCGGGTGCCGTGCAACATTGATTGGCCTGTTTTTCTAAGCAACTTGCAGATCGTGCGTGTCAGAGAGTCGCACCTTACGAAGTTTGTGAACTCTGAGGGCATTACAGAGACGGATCGTGTTCATAATTATATTTAATGGCGTTACTATAATTTGATTTAATTAATATAGTAAATGTCAACCAAAGTCTAACACATGCGGTGGTGTTGTCCGCAGGCTGTCTCGGACGAAGCAAGGGCAATGTATAACGGAGGAATAGCTGGGCTCACATTCTGGAGCCCAAACGTGAACATTTTCAGGGACCCACGGTGGGGCCGGGGACAAGAGACTCCCGGTGAAGACCCCGTCCTAGCCGGTGCATATGCCGCCAGTTACGTCAAGGGCCTCCAGGGAAACGACGGTAACCGGTTGAAGGTCGCTGCTTGCTGTAAGCACTTTACGGCCTATGACCTCGATAATTGGAACGGGGTGGATCGCTTCCATTTTAATGCACAGGTAGGCACAGCTGTTTTCGTTTCTAGTTAGCTAGGACTGGGGGCAAATGCATAAATCTTGTATTCCACTTTCTTCTATGAATATTTTATTACTGAAAAAAGAGTTTGATGATAAGAAAGACAAAAACAAGCGGGCAAAATCAGTTTTCCCGTCGATTGCTTTAATCGGTGATTTATGGCATTGGTTTGAATTAGAATGTGATTAAAGAGGGTGGGAATCTTCTGATAGGGCGGGACCACTTAGGCTTGTCGGTATGTGTTGTTATCCCGTATCCGCTGCCTTTATTATGTTGGTTATCTGTGATATGTGTTCATTTTTTTAAAATTATCCTCGTGTATTCAATTATTAATAGAGGTATTTAAAAAAATATAAAAAAAAGTAAATTAAATTTTATATTTAAGATTAAATACAAGTTTTTAGTTAATTCTTATGTTGAAGAAAGAGAGTAGCATTACCATGTTGGTTGGTATTAGTTCTGGTTCATTGTCCATCTGGCACAGGACTCTCGTAGGCCCAAAACCACTTTCAAAACGTGTCTCTGAGTCCTTTTCTTTTCATTTACTGCTTTATCCAAGTGGGTCTTTCAGTATTTTGAAAGGATAAGGAATGACTCGGATGAGTTTACATCGAATAGACGCCTTCCCTTTTTCGTGCTGAGGGGGAGGTTATTAATAGAAGGAACTATCACCAAGAGTGAGTCTTGTGAGATGCAATTTACGATGATAAAGCCGCGGTGCATTATTATATTTTTAATGATGAAAAGATATGTTAACAAGAAGCGAAGCTAGTGTGGATAGTATGGGGGAAGTTATGATGATGTCGGGGATAGGGTGCTTTTCTTGGAGCAAGTTGGGGGGAATCCTAGTGAAAACAAGCAGGAAAAGGGAAGAACTGACGAGGAAAGTGAATTTGATGGGCGCAGGTGAGCAAGCAGGACATAGAGGATACGTTCGACGTGCCGTTTAGAATGTGTGTGAAGGATGGCAGAGTGGCCAGCGTCATGTGCTCTTACAATCAAGTCAATGGTGTCCCCACCTGCGCCGACCCGAACCTCCTCAAGAAAACTGTTCGGGCGCAATGGCGTCTTGATGGGTCCGCCACCTAAACTACAACCATATCCACTCTTTTTCAACATTAATAACTGTTAACCTTTTGACATTTTTTTCCCTTTGCTGTGGCATACATATTACATATGCAGATACATCGTATCAGATTGCGACTCTGTTGGAGTGCTCTATGCTAGCCAGCATTACGCTTCATCACCAGAAAAAGCTGCTGCTGCGGCCATCAAAGCCGGTTAGTCAACTATATTCCATTTCCCAGGGAATAATCAATCTAACTAAATTAAAACAATCAAGGTAAAACATTGCAAGATTCAATTCTAGAGAATGCAAGTCTGTTTCAGGACTGGATTTGGATTGCGGGCCTTTCTTGGGGATGCACACGCAAGATGCGGTGAGGAAAGGATTGTTGAGGGAAGCGGACGTGGACGGTGCTCTGGCGAATACCCTTACCGTCCAAATGAGACTGGGCATGTTTGATGGAGAGCCGTCTGCTCAGCCATACGGGAAGCTGGGTCCCGCAGACGTGTGCTCCAAGGCTCACCAAGACCTCGCCCACGAAGCCGCCGTTCAAGGAATCGTTCTCCTCAAGAACTCCGGCCCTTCTCTGCCCCTCTCTCCCCGTCGTCACCGCACTGTCGCCGTCATCGGCCCTAATTCTGATGCCTCTGTTGCCATGATTGGTAATTATGCCGGTAAGCCCAACTAGCTCTTCCGGCTTTCATGAACTCAAATGATAAACCAACAATAACTTACGAATCGAGCGGTATCGTCAGGTGTTGCCTGTGGATACACGACTCCTTTACAAGGAATAGGGAGATATGCCAAGGCAATTCACCAAGCAGGCTGTGCCAATGCGGCTTGCGCCGATGACAAACTATTTGGAGCGGCGATAAAGGCGGCCCGTCATGCTGATGCCACGATTCTTGTAATGGGCCTGGACCAATCCCTTGAGGCCGAAAATAGGGACAGGCCCAATTTGCTTATGCCTGGGCGTCAACAAGATCTTATTACCAAGGTGGCGGCCGCCTCCAAGGGCCCAACTATATTGGTATTGATGTCTGGTGGGCCTCTGGACATAACTTTTGCAAAGAACGATCCACGAGTGGCAGGCATCTTGTGGGCCGGTTATCCTGGCCAAGCCGGTGGGGCCGCCATCGCAGATATCTTGTTCGGAGCAGCCAACCCAGGTTAGTTTAATTGTTTGCCTCACTGCCTACTTATAAACAAATCCATGCGGCCGAACGCTTCAACTAAAGATGAAGTGTATGTAACATTTGCAGGAGGGAAGCTGCCTCTGACATGGTATCCACAAGAATATGTCACAAAGTTGCCAATGACAGATATGAGAATGCGAGCAAGCCAACCCACAGGGTACCCGGGAAGAACCTATCGATTCTATCAGGGTCCGGCAGTATACCGATTTGGGCACGGATTAGGCTACAGCCAGTTCGTGCACACGCTGGCAAGTGCGCCGACGTTGGTGTCGGTTCCGGTGGACGGGCACCGCAGGGTCAACACCACAGACATCTCAAACAAGGCCATCAGGGTGACGCATGCGCGATGTGGAAAGCTGTCCATGACCCTTCACGTAGATGTTAAGAATACGGGCTCCAAGGATGGCACTCACACGCTGCTAGTGTTCTCGGCCCCACCTTCTGGGGGTCACTGGGCCCCACGCAAGCAACTGGTGGCTTTTCAGAAGGTGCATGTCCCAGCCAGGGCTCAACAACGAGTCCAAGTTAATATTCACGTTTGCAAACTCCTCAGCGTTGTTGATAAATCTGGGATTCGAAGAATTCCGTTGGGCCAACACAGTCTTCACGTTGGGGATCTGAGGCACTCCGTGTCACTTCAAGCTCAATCCCTTGGGATTATCAAGAGCTGACCTGTTAGTTTAATTCCCCAGCGATTGCATGATTGGTATAAAATAAATACTTCTAGTATGGTAATGGACATTTTATAAGGGATTTTAGTTCTCTGGAATCCTCAATTGAAAGCGCAAGCTATGTGGATATGGCAGGATGGATTGGTGCTTTAGGAGGAGTGAGTAAGGAAATCCACTCTTCTCATTTTTAAATTTCTACTTGATTAGTTCATAATTCTTTTGTGTGTATTACAAATGTGAGAAAGTAGTTGCAATCCCTTCAATGTCATCCCTTTCCCCAGACAAGTAATGAAGACCGGATGCTTCCTGTTCCCAATCTGCACACAGATGTCTTTCTTTATGACTCCGTGCCGTAATCATGCATGCCGTGCTTCTCAATGTCTAGGCTCAGATCAATCCGAAGAGCGAGCTCCAGCAACCCTTTTTTTTTTTAAAAAAAAATTTGCTCGGCTTCGGCCCTAGTCTTCTTGTTGTTGGGCCTATATATGGGGCTAACACATTCCCATGACTTGACTACTCCAGCCTTTTTCAGGACCCAAACTAAAAACAATGTACTTCACCCCAAAGACCAAAGATGGGAACCCGATTATTAGTGTGATGTCGTGGAGCCGTCAGCCTAGGCATAGGTAATTCCTCAAATGTGTTAATGGAATGTGATCAAATATGTGAGGATAGCCGTTGAAAGTTGTAAAATACATAAACACGAAGGCGTCTCAATAATTGTCAATAAACCAACACATATGCGCATGATTAGCTTGAAATAGTTAAATACAATAAGCGTTTTGTTTCTGCGGGCGACAATGCGAACTCAAACTGCTGCATATAGATCCCGGAAGAGTCGTCCACAATGCCACGACCCACAAGTATGTATTTGGTTGCATCTTGACTTGTTGCCATTTCGTCAAAATGCCCAATAATACCAAATATCATATCTTCACTGGTCAACCCCCCGGATCCAATCTGTTCGACGTGGCTGTGTTTCCAATTTAAAAGAGGGAAGTAATTTTATAGAGAAAATCCTAAGGCTCTTTCAGTGAGATGATCTGTTTGCAAATAGAATAGCACCATTCACACACACCAAACGTTATGTGTGTTACATACACAACATGCAACATATTATTGATCTCATTTGAATTCGTAGACTTTTATTAAATTGGAGTACAGATCAATCTATATGTGTAAACACTCCCCGTGAGTCTGATCTTCACAAGTGTCGACATTTTCGCATTTATGAGTTATGGACTCGTGGTCCTCTGTTTTGCTGCATAATGCAGGGAACACCATTATGGTAGTGTCTGCAAAAGATGAGCTTAATACGTATTTTAATCATGCCTTGAAGTGTCATAAATCTGAAACCTCAAAAGGGGCCAAAGAGGAGTGGTACATTCTTTATTGCACGATAAAAATTTAAAAACATCTATGGAGCAAACTCATTTTTCACTCTCACAAGGCATTGGTAATTTTTTCCCCACAGATCTGAGAAACCATGAAATATTCTTGTCAATGCGGAGACAGGTCTGATAAATCAGGAGTCATTTATATAGCCGTGAAATGTAAAATGGAAGAAACTAGAAATAGGATAATTGGGAAACCAGGGAAACTAGAATAATTAACCGGGCATGTGAGGATATAATTTGGTTAAATAAATAGTTTTGTTTAGGGGTTGGCCTCCGTATAGGTGAAGAACGCAGGCAATGATGAATCATGTGACATGTGATTCAACCAACTTATAACACTGAAGCTGCCATGTGCTTCGCCAACAAAATCAAACCCATCTCTCCCATATTATTAATTGATAATTCAGCTGCAAACCACGACTTCACCATTCCATTCTAGCAGCCCTATCCGCCCAGACCTATCATTGTGAATATTCAATTCCCAAATAACTAATTTTGCTGAAGAAGGATAGGGAAGCTGTGGGGTGCACATATTATTCTACTCTTTTTTCTTGGATTGGGAAAATATTCTCAATGGAAGCAAAGTGCAAATTAAAGTGGATGAATCATGGGTCAGAATGTTTAGTTAAATAGATATTAATCCAAAATGATGCTTGGCTTTGAGTTCAAGTTTCTCTTTTGAACTTTTTGCTTCAAGGGTGCCCTCAATCGGGGAATAACTTTTCCATAAACAAAAGGAATAAACAGAGCATGGAGCTAAGCAAACTGCGGGAAAAGACCTTTTCTTTTCCCCTTCCACTATTACTCAGAGCATAAAACTTTAGCAAAGGCTGACTTACTATTGGGATGGGCTCAATAAAACAAATCACTGACCAAAGAAATATATTAAAAAAAAATAATTCTGAGATCTGTTTGTGCAGTTCACGGGACATGAGCCCTATTGAGGCATCTATTTCTCATCATCTCCTTATCCATTCCAAGTAGATTGTACTGCAATATTTATTGCTTATAAATGATATGAATACAGTTTCTCAATAAATTTTATAATACTATATGAAGATGTGTAAATGACTGGGTCACTCCTGTGCCCTTTCCTCCATGGGATCCGTCAGACTGTTGGCTTTTGATAGTTCAGCTTCATGAGCAGGCCGTATGAAAGAACCAGAGCACTTTTTAATGAAATGTCCTGTACTGCTATTTACAGGATAAGCATAAGGGTGAAATGAAACTTATGAATAAATACTGAACAACAAGGTACAGCTTTTAAATGGGTGGCTCTTGTGCCGGTGAACGAATGAGACTGTGAATGATGAATGATGATGAGAGAGTAGAGAGAGGCAGAGGTAAATTATGCGTAGTGGTCCAAAATGTTGAATAGCTCTTCGTGGGAAAGAGATGAATCATTGGGGAATTGTCAATGGCACGGCACAGAATCACCGTCCTGTCATCCTTTCATTTTCGGATATTTTGATTAGCCATGTAATAGGTTGTACTTTTATTTGAGACCAACTAATTATTCATATTCATTCACTTCTGTGGGCTGTGGTTTACATTTTTTTGTTTTAAACGCGTCCAATTAATGCTGTATTTGGCCAAGTCGTCGCCTTTGCTTTTCTTTGTTGTTGAAAGCCCTTTTCAGACTTAAGTTCGCCGCTATTCCCACCACTTGTTTTTTATTTTATTCTTTAATTCTCTTCAAAATATCAATTTCATTTGCTGTCCTGTTGTTTTCACTCAGTTCATTCATTTCCTTTTACTTTCCACCGTACTTAATGCAATTAATCTATTTTAACATCTCAGTATTGGATGCCTCGCGTGAGGTTGATGGAGTAGCCAGCAATGTCATCATTAGTACTATGTTGTCAAAATCTCACAATAATGGGTTATCCGCCAACAGAACAACGAGGTTTGTTTCCTTAATCCTTTTTTTTTTTTTTACATTGAATCATGCAACACAAGACCCACTAAACTGATCAATAATTTAATTTAATCTAATCTGTCTCTCTTTCTTTATTCATGCCGTGCCAAATGTCAGGCTACAGAACACAATTGGTAGTTGACCCCTCCCCCACGGGTCACCCCAACCAGGGGAGAAAAATAATAACGAAGCAGCAGCATGAATGTGCTCCAATTTTTTGAGCTTGGAATCACGCTTTATATTTTATATACATAAAACGGATCAAGTCTGAGAAAGAGTGTTTATTAACTGGCAGTCCAGAGAATGACTGGGCAGGAAACGTATGATTGGAATTAAAAAATTGGAGAAATAATAATACATCATCATGAAACGCAAATGACCTCAACTAAGAGCTGTTTGTGGCATGTCTGAAAATTTGAATTTGATGATGAGCTGCATTATTGGGAAACTTTTTGGAGGAGATGATGATAAGCAGAAGGCAGAGAGACGAGGGGGCATTGGCCTGAAGGAGTTGGACCTGGTTGGCCATTTCGAGCTAACAAGAAAGGCGCACATGGCTCTACATCTATCCCCACGTGAAACTTCATCCCAACACACATGCATCCCACATTAACCCTACCTTTCCTGGGCTTTCCCATATATAAAGAACAGTGAAGCTGTGAAATTATTAGAAACATAAATGTAGAAAACTACTAAGTAAGTGAATTTTATTGATGTTCGGAACAAAACTCATGCAGCAGCTAGCTCTAGTCTTATTCGCAAAAGAATGTTATGGCCTTTCGCGTCTCACTTACTTTTGCCTCCTTCCATGCAAACATGTCTTTGAGAGTTGAAACTTTTCTCTGTTTTCAATACCACCTCTCACCCTTAATATAAAAATTCGTTTGACTTTTGTTCTAATCCTAAATATAAGATCAAAATTCACTTTGTCTCTCATATTTATCCCCTCCTTTTTTTAAGATAGTCTTTATAATAATGATAGTTCTAGTTAATACACTTAATTAGCAACAATATTTTAAGAAAAACAACACATATTTATTAACAAATCAGTGATTTAATTAGTTTTTTTAATCTATTTAAAATAGTCAACTAACTCTTATATTAAGGATTGGTACAGTACTACTTAATTACATTACGCTTTCTTTTACTTCTGTAATAACCGTACACTTTCCCAAGATAGCAGGATTGCAAAGGCTGGCTGATGATTCCTTCGTTAATTACCACTGCTGTTATTATATAGGGTACGTGAAAGGATCTCTCGTTGCGCGCGTAGGCAAAGGCCAACCTGGAAAAGTGGGAACTCAACTCAGAGCATCCTAAGCTTCCAACTATACATATGCGTCTTAACTTAACGCTCAAATATTCTCTGCCGCGTTATATGCAATAATTAAGTTGTTCAGTTTTTATGCTTTGTATATTTTCTGATTAACAAGCTAAAGAAAAGGAATGCTTGGTGACTAATTATTGATTAAAATTTCTCTAATGCAGCCATATGCTTTTGTTTATTGGGCAGTTATGTTTGCATGCAATAACAATATGCTCAGAGAGAGATTCTATTTTCAAGCCTTTATTAAATGGTTATTTGGTTAGTTAATTAGTTTGTTGGTTGATTATCTATGCGAGTACTATACTGCTATAATACAGTCATATAATACTGCATATCTAACGATCGAATAATGGACCATTATTCCTTCTTTTTTATTTTTAAATTTCTACCCAACTGTCCGTATAAGGTATAAATACGAGTTCTTTAATTTTATGAAAGAAATCATTTATTTACTTTAATCGTGTTAACATTTATTACATTTGGATTTTTTTTTAAATAATTAAGAAATTATATTCACGTTAGATTCCCAGACTAATCAATCAATTTCATCATAGTAAGTAAGTCTTCGTCAAAGTTTAAAATTTGATACTCATATGGTCTTTAATATAATACCTAATTGTTAAGTTGATTTTGGTTCTAAATGTAAAATCTATTTATCATATTTATCAATTTTTTCTAAATTACTCCTATAAATACTACATCAACTATAATCAAGTAGGAGAAGGAGAGGAAGAGGGATATTAAGAAAGATAATTATAATGTTCTAGAAGAAACATGTCATATTTT